ATGATAATTGTAGAAATATATACATATACATATATATATATATATTATATAATATAAAATTATTTACTATATATATTTACTATATTATATATAATCATAATAATAACTTTAGAATAAATATGTAAATAAATATTTTAAGAAACTGCTTATTTGCTTGCAGGCTACTAATTTTCCATGATTCGAAATATATAGAAATATTATTCTAAGCACGAAACAATAACATGAAAAAGTATAATTAGTATTACACAATAATTACCATTTTAATTATGTATAGTACGATATAAAAGCTAAATCCTTTGCCTCAGATTTTTTTTATAAAGAACAAATTGGTTTCTAAATGAAATTCACTAGCTATGATCGAAATTGAGAGGTACAGGGAATTTCGCATGCTACATGATAAAATGACAATCAATGAATTATATTTCATATTAAGTGAAAAGCTTATCTTAATTTGAATTTCAGAACTCAGGTGTATGCCAACCTCCTCCAACTACTCCAGCTCCTGAACTGCCCTCCACTGCACAGCCTGAAACCCTTCCTCCTAAGCCAGAACCAACAGAATCTGATTCAGAAGAATCAAAGAGCTCAGAATCAGTCTCTGAAGAGTCAAAAATTTCAGAAGAATCAAAAGGATCAGAAGAATCTAAGGGTTCAGAAGAATCTAAAGTTTCTGAGGAATCAAAGATCTCTGAAGAATCTAAAGTTTCTGAGGAATCAAAGGTCTCTGAAGAATCTAAAGTTTCTGAGGAATCAAAGGTCTCTGAAGAATCAAAAGGATCAGAAGAATCTAAAGTTTCTGAAGAATCTAAAGTTTCAGAGGAATCAAAGGGCTCTGAAGAATCCAAAGTATCTGAGGAAGTAGTTCCAGAAGAATCTAAAGAATCAGAAGAAAAGAAAGTATCTGATGAAGTAGTTTCAGAAGAAAAGAAAGTATCCGAGGAAGTAGTTGATGAAAAGAAAGTTTCTGAGGAAGTAGTTTCAGAAGAAAAGAAAGAATCTGAGGAAGTAGTTGAAGAAAAGAAAGAATCTGAGGAAGTAGTTGAAGAAAAGAAAGTATCTGAGGAAGTAGTTGAAGAAAAGAAAGTATCTGAGGAAGTAGTTGAAGAAAAAAAAGTATCTGAGGAAGTAGTTGAAGAAAAAAAAGTATCTGAGGAAGTAGTTGAAGAAAAGAAATCTGAGGAGGTAGATGAAGAAAAGAAATCTGAGGAAGTAGTTGAAGAAAAGAAAGTATCTGAGGAAGTAGTTGAAGAAAAAAAAGAACCTGAGGAAGTAGTTGAAGAAAAGAAAGTATCTGAGGAAGTAGTTGAAGAAAAGAAAGAATCTGAGGAAGTAGTCCCAGAAGAATCCAAAGAATCTGAAGAAGTAGCTCCAGATGAAACCAAAACATCTGAGGAAGTAGTCCAAGAAGAATAAAGAAAAAAAATCCAGAGCCGGCTAGTCAACTAGAAGAATCTAAGTGAATTATTGATGGATAAGATCATTTTTATTATTAATTATATACAAGACCGAAATTTCCTCTGACACCATAAAAAATAACAAAATTTATTCAATAAAAATAAAAACTGCTACACAAAAAATATTTTACTGACTAAGATGCATAAAATTTTTGAAAAAGGAAGCTATGAAATTATGAAACAAAATTATGCTTATCTAAGGCACAATTGATCTTAATTCATTTTTCTGTAAATAACTGTCAAAAAAAGAAATATTGAAAGATATTTGCAGGCAGTTCTGTTGGTTACTTTGTAAATATAGATATTTAAAATAAATACTGTTTTTATGGCATTGTTACAATTTTCTTTTATTTAACTGTACAAATATTTTCATCAAAATTAGTTTTATTTCGCATAAGAAAATTAGAATAATCAGAATCATATTCAGAGTTCTTGTTTTATGATCGGAACAAAAAATAATAGAACAAATTACGTGAAATCAAAATAAAACTAATTTGAGGAACAAAAAAAGTTAAAAATGAAACGTTGTGTAACAATTTTCCTTCTAGTACATTTTAGAGCAAGTTTCTATTTAATAAAATACAGCATCTGAGAAACAAAAGGACTCAGTTTGCTTTATTCCAAATTAGTTTGAAAATAATAGAAAAGAATATAATATTAATACAATGCGATCTTTTAATCGCTTTTAAAACAGCTTACAACTCCATCATATGAGAGAGGCTTTGCGATGCTATTATTGAGTTTAGAATCAAATATAAACAGGTCAACTTTTTGAAAATGACCCTTAAAGATGTCAAATGCAGAATAAAATTTGTTTGAACTAACAAACCATTTTTACACACTAAGAAGTTTAAGACAAAGAGACACCCTTTCTTGCATTTTATTTAACATTGCTTTGGAAAAAACAATTAGAGATATAAATACTAGAGGTATATTTATCCAAAAGTCTGTTCAAATATCGGCTTATGCAGATGATATTGATTTAATAAGACATACCAAACAAATCGTCTTAGAGATTTTTACCATGCGTGAGGATTCTGCTAAAATCTTATGTTTAACTATTTATCAGGATAAGATCAAATTTATGGCAGTCGGTAATTGAAATTTTGAGATTGTACCTCTCGTGACTAATGATTATACATTTGAAGGTATCAGTCAGTTCAAATATCTAGATACAATTGTTACAGTTAATAATGATATCAAAACAGACATTAATAACAGGATAATGATGGCTAATAAGTTTTATTTTCAATTGAGAAACCAACTGAAATCAAAGCTCATTTCCATTGAAATTATAATTAATACTCTAATTAAACCTGTATTATTTTACAGCAGCGAATGCTGACCTTTAAATAAAACTGAGGAAAATTAACTACTGATATTTGAAAGAAAAATACTCAGAGCCATCTTCGTAGCTGTTAAAGAAAATGTTTGGCGGGTTCAGTACAATTATGAATTATACAGAAAATTAAAGCAACCAAACATTATTTCAGTTATTAAATTCTATAGAATAAGATGGCTGGGTCACATCTATAGAAGGGATAGTGGCAACTAAGTGACCCAGTTAAGAAGCTTGAAAGCAGTTTAGAAGCTCATTTGATTTTTGGAAAGTTAACAGGCAGCCGAAAAAGGGGAAGACTAAACACCTGATGGATTGATTTAATGGAGAAAAAATATCTCAAAACCATGGGAATCAAGAAAAAGATAAACCTAGTGCCTCATCAGGCCAGATGGAGACAATTAGTTGGGATGGCTCTGACTCAGGGCTTGAAAAAACTCAGAAATTTTACCAGCCCCCAAGGACGGCTTGTCCAACAATGTACCCGTCCTCTTTTGAAACTAACCCTCAGCTTCTAAATAAATAAAAATATAATTTTCTCATATTTATTACAAACATTTATATAAATTGCACAATGAATTAGTTGTTACTAGAAGTACATTATACAGCAATAAAAGAAATACTAGGTTACTAATAGTAACCTAGTATTTCTTTTATGAAATAATTTCTTTCTTTCATGAAATAACTAATTTCTTTTATGAAATATTTTAAATGACAAAAGTCAAGTTATTTGGAATGTCAATTTATCCGAGGGTACAGTGTTTTTTAAATGAATCAAATATGACGTTTGTCAGTTCCACAATCAAGCCAATGATTTACAGAGGTTTCTGCACAGAAATCTGAAAGAGGTTTTCCATTTAGGTAGATGTTCATTATTGTGTTTAAAGCCAGTTTAAGACCAGTACGTAATGTGTTGTTTTGTAAGTTCATTGCTGAAAAGCCCCTTTCACGATTACATGAGCATGCACATTTGGTCTGACGAAGGAATTAAAGGGATTTCTAGATTAGAGAGTGAGGCGCTAGACTCTTGTAAGATAACAAAATTGAAAATGTATCACGAACATTAACAGGAAAATGGTCGTCCGCGCGGACGTCGGATTCGAGAAATTCGTTGTCTGCGGGGAATTTTTTACCTCCGAGGATGGGCGGTTTTTCGAGCCCTGCTCTGACCTGTACTAGGCTGTCATGCTGAAGGAAGAAGAAGATATGATAACATATATTTCTATGCAGCATGATTAGCTATTGAGCATGATAATATATATTTAAATATATAAGCAAGTAACTAGCCATTGGACAAGTGATAGAATGTAAGCTATCTCCTAACAAAACAAAGGGGCACAAGTTTTTTCATGATAAAAAAATTTGGAAACTGAGGAATGCATTGGAATTTTAATATGAACTGCTACCATTAATATTAGTTAAAAGAAGTAAATTTAAATCTATTTATATATTTTTTCTTATTTTAAATATTTTTAAACAAGTTTTTTATATTTTTACTTACTGGTTTCAACAAGCTTGTTATCAGCTTTATTTCTATGTTAGGGTCCTTTAAAAAATTTATTTCATCCACTTCTTTCTTTATGCATCAGTTATTATTATTTTTTTTTTAAACATCCTAAGCCTTATTCGAAGTAGGAAGAATGAAAACGATTTAAATCACTTAATTTTATTAAAAAACAATTGATTTAAGCTTAAAAAAATATTTAAAGATAGTATTAAAGATATAGAGGAAGTCCAAAAAGTATGGCAGTTAAAAATATTGAAAAATACACATTGGATCAAAAAATACATGTGTGAAATATATGCAAAAGTTGCATTCAATAATATCAAACTCATCCCTTCAACCTAACTCCCAGGGTGGTATGGAGGACAACTTCAAACTCTCAAGGAGGAACCCATATTTCATAATGCATATTTGGATTTTCCAGAAAAAAATGCCTTGATCAAACAACACATAAGTCATTGAATTTTAGCTCATAAGTGATGCCACTTAATTGCAAATGGAAGATAGTGCGGAAATTGTTTAAAATAGAGATATCTCTAGAGATACATGACACATTGAAAAAATAAAACTAGATATGTTTGATAATTTGTAAAATCTATCTTATGACACCACACTAGACTCCCTAAACCAAAGTAGTTCCCATCCCAAGGAGAAACTTTTTATTATTGCTTTGTCATTTATTTAATGAAATTTGAAGAAAAAAAATTCAATTTACTCATTTTACTTTACGTATGTACTTTAAAAGATCTAAATTTCTCTAGAATGAATTATTTGTCCCAGTGCAATAAAAGTAAGAAAGCTTTTTTTTTCTTAAGTAAAAGGATTTTCAAAATCAAGAGAACAATAAAAATGATTATGAATATAGTATGTGAAATTTAAAAAAAGTCATAAAAATTCAATCAATTTAAATGGGGATTGATATAAAAGAATAAAAAAAAATTTCTTTGCTTAGGTATAAGGATTTTTAAAATCAAGAGAACAATAAAAATGATTATGAATATAGAATGTGATAACATAAAAAAGTCATAAAAAATCAATCATCAATTTAAACAGGCATTGATATAATGTTGCATTAATTTGAAAGTAAACATGATTTTACTTACTGATCATTATAGTTAAAGGAACAGCATAATTAAAGGGGTGTACTAAATAGCCTTGAATGCATTAATAATTTGAAAAGTATTACTTTCATAATATATTTTGATAAAAAAAAATATATAACATAAAATAAACAATAACAATTTATTATAACATTTATAACATGTTTATACAGCATTATGAAAAATGTACCAACAACAAAGCTTTGAGCAATAGTAACAGACAAAAGGTCAATGATAGAACAGAATATTTCCAAAACTGTCAATAAACTGCAAAACCATGATAAAATGACAAGCATAATTCTATAAATCTGAAAATAAAAAATAACTTACATTAAAAAACTTATTAATAAAACTACATTTTTTAACACTTAACACCTAATAATTTTTATCTAAGTTTTTTTTAAACCAAGTGAGATTGATTACATACTTAAAAATATTAATATATTTTTAATTCTTAAATTAGTTTACCAAAAACTAACGATGCATGCTTTTCTATAACAAACTACACTGCTGGACAATTGCTAAGGATGGATCACAAATTGCAATGTAGCATAACATTAGGCGAGACATGAGGCCTAGTAGGATAAAATATAGTTGCCACACTGTTCAGATATTAGAATAAAGAATATTCATTGTTCTGGAAAGTACAAAAGATATGAAACATCTGAAAGAAAAAAATGTTCATTTGATGCTGCGTACGGAAAAATGGAACAATGCATCTAAATGTCAGCAGGCAACTTGAAGAAAGGTGTCAGTACGGGATATGTCCACCGTGTAGTATGATGCAACATTCTACACGTTGTATCATACTTTGCACAACATTATCCAGCAGCTGTTGAGGCAATTAATCCCATTCCTCTGTCAGTGCACGGATGAGGGTGTTCTTGTTTGTCGGAGGATAGTTTTAACCAGCAAATTGCCTCCCCAAAGCATCCCAAACATTTTCAATGGGGTTTAGATCTGGAGAACGTGATGGCCATACGAGGCGTTGAATACCCTCGCTGTCTGGACAATCATGAACAGCGAGGGTTCGATGACATGTTGCGTTGTCGTCCATAAAAACAAATTTATCACCGACAGCACAACAGAAAAGATTAACATGAGGAAGTAGAACTTCATCAATGTATCGTTGGTCCGTCATAGTCCCATTCGCAACCACATGTAGGCGCGTGAGGCCATTAATCATGATGCCGGCCCACACCATGACACTGCATGGTGGATATCGGTCCCTTTCCTGGATATTTTCTGGACGATAACCAGTACCACTGTCGCGCCAGATTAGTTGGCGTCTTCAATCCAATGACAGACTGAACCTACTCTCATCTGAGAATAGTACGCATGCCCAATCCTGTTCAGTCCAATTGTGATGCTCACGACACCATTGCAAAGGGGCAGTACGGTGCTGTCTGGTCAATGGGACACACACAACAGGTTTGCGGGCGTATAGTCCTCCTCCCCTCAAACGTCTGGCAACAGTTTTTCGGGAGCTCTGCTTTCTTGTGGCAGCAAGAAACTGATTTGCCACTTGCTGAGCTGTGGTGCGCCTGTTCCTTTTTGCTTATAAGACGATGTACCTGTTTTCTGCAGGTGTCGTACTTCTAACACGACCTCCCCCGGGCCACCTACTACACATTCCAGTAGTTTTAAATGATTTCCACAGCCGTGAAACAATGCTGTGAGCGATGTCGAACTCCCTGGCAACATCTGTTATTTTTCACCCTTCTTTGATCTTTCCAATAATTCGGCCACACTCGAAATCATCTAAGAGATATCGGGAAGACATACCAAAACTTTCAAGTTCGTCAACTAAATCTTTCCTNCGTGAAACAATGCTGTGAGTGATGTCGAACTCCCTGGCAACATCTGTTATTTTTCGCCCTTCTTCGATCTTTCCAATAATTCGGCCACGCTTGAAATCATTTAAGAGATATCGGGAAGACATACCGAAACTTTCAAGTTCGTCAACTAAATCTTTCCTGTAAAACTTTGACTTGTAATAACAACTCTCCACACGCGTCAAAACCTTTAAAGCTCTTATCAGCGCTATCACGTGATGAACAGACGTGGAAAAAAAAATTTAATACGCATACCTCTTCTTACTATATCCCGCACTTATTCTAATTTTCCATATTTTGCTTCCTTTCATTTTGTGATTGCTATGGATGATAGTGTTATCCGACCTTAGCAATTGTCCAGCAGTGTATTTTACTGTACTCTAAAATACATTACAAATATTAAAATTAAATAAATTTTCATTGAATCTGATCTATTTCAAGGTTCAAAAATTTTTGAATTGTAAGGTAAACAAATTTTTAGATCATAGAAAGACCTGAGAAATCGAATTTTAGATATACAACTTTGTTAAGAATCGATTTCTCAGCAACTATTTGACAGATTTTGTTCTAATTTTGTATTTTGACACATAAAATTACATTCTTTTAAATGATGTAAACCTTCCTTACAATTCAAAAATTTTTCTATTATTATTAACTAAATTTATTATTAAAAAATTTTCAATTATTATTAAAAATTATTCTTTGCATTGAATTATCTTTTAATAAAAAAATTTATAATAGAGTGAAAATTTTTTTGATTCGCTTAAATTCAAGATATGGCAAAATACACAAAAAGTTAAATAAACAGAACATCCTAATTATTGCAACAAAAGGTTTAAAAACTCCATGTGGAAGCATATCTGTTCTGTTTCACATTTAAATTATTTATTGCCACTCTCAAACATACTTGTAACTATTCTAAAAGCTTTTGAGAAAATTACTATTTTTTTAAGTCATTCCAGTTAAAATGGCTAACTAGCAAAAGTTTAATACATTTACTCTAGATCAAAATGCATCAGAGAACACATTTAAAACTATTATCCACTTAGAAAGTGTAATTGCTAAAAATTAACTATTCTCTTAAACAAACAAATATGAGATAAATTTTGTTTAAGAGAATCATAATGTTTAATAAAAAATGGATTACTTTTTAAAAATGTTTTTTTTTCCTGCTTTTGATAACATATGATTTTTACAAACTTGGATTTTCAATAATTAATTTTTTTTTTCTTTTTCTCCCTTTAAATTCGAAATATCAAGGCTTGAATGATAATATTTACATTGCATTTACAATGCATTTACTTACATATTTTGCACTTGCAATGTTGTCTTCTTTGACTTCTACAAACTCAATAATGTTATCCCCCTTTTTTTCCTTGACAAAAATAGGCACATCATTAACATTAACTAAAAAGCAATAAAAATGCAACAGAATAATTTATATATTAAGAAATCAAAAATAACAGCGGCAAAAATTTCATAAAAATTATTTTAGTGGGTTTAGAAAACTTTGAAAATCCCAGTTCATGAAACATCAAGTACAGATAAGATTTAAAGAAACTATAATAAATTTTTTTAAATAATATTCGAAATCAGCTTAAGAATAGCATAAAGATAAAAGCAGCATTTTTTTCCAAAATCATTATTTAATCATATTTTACTCCAGAATCATTAGTTTTTGGAAAAGTAAAACCAAAACAAAACCTTGACAAAAGTAGCACATCATTAACTTTAACTAAAAAGCAATAAAAATGCAACAGAATAATTTATATATTAAGAAATCAAAAAATAACATCAGCAAAAATTTCATCAAAATCATTTTAGTGGGTTTAGAAAACTGAAAATCTCAGTTCATGAAACATCAATTACAGATAAGATTTAAAGAAACTATAATAATTTTTCTAAAAATAATATTCAAAATCAGCTTAAGAATAGCATAAAGATAAAAGCAGCATTTTTTTCTAGAAGCATTAGTTTTTGAAAAAGTTAAACCATACAATATTTATTAATTTTTTTTCTATCAAAATCTATGAATTTTCATTTTATTTCATTTGAGTTCAAACTAATTAGATGCCAGATTTTGTGCCAAATATTTTAGACCAATAAACTCATTCAGTACTTAATACTAAAAAGCAATAGGTATTTATGTAACAATATTTAGAGTATTTTAAGAATTTTTACTTTCACATCATGTTATAATTTATTTTTTCTTTGATAGGGAGCAATAACCTCCCTTTAAAACCGCTTTTATTTACAGTGATGAATTAAATTAACAAAGAGATAAAAATATATATACAGTCGAACCCCGCTATAGTGAACCGTCTGCGGACTCAGTAATGTGTCCACTATAACCGATGGTTCACTATATCCAAATTTTTTGAAGAATATTTTTTGCATAAGACAGTTGAATGATTGAAAATTGGCTTTGCAATTTTGCATAAGTTATTTAAAAAATTATTAACTAATTAACAGATAATAAAGCAAAAATTGATGGAAAAAGTAATTACGTCGCTAAATATTAGTTTTATTTTCACTTTTTATGAAAAAAATTTGTGATTTTTGATTGAACACAATTTGATTTTAAATTGAGTTCATCAATTTTCTTATCTACAATGTGCAAAGAATGCAAGATTTTTACATTTTGAACAAGATTTCGAACCATCTTAACAAAGCATCTTCTACGTTTTCTCTTTCAGCTCCACGCAGTTTTTTCGATGAAACCATGTTTTTGTCGTATGCCGCAAGAATTGCACTTCGATTTTTCCAAATGTTTGAAACTGTAGATTTTGACAAGGAAAATTCCTTACACAGTGTCGATTGATTGGTTCCATCATCAATACGCTTTACAATTTTAACTTTGTCCTCTATCGAAAACGCTTTTCTCTTTAGAGAATTTGCCATTTTCACTGCTTTTGAAATAAAAATCTTGTCTCAAATAGATAATGTAAGAATATGAAGAGAGCAGCTGTAGAATGAGTTAAATTGTTCCCCTTCTTGATTGTCAAGGGGTGATTTGTAAAGAATATGGTTTGAACAGATAAGAAAATTCCAAAAATTCAGCAGGTGGCCAAGTTAACTAGTTGTAGAGCAAGCTTGGGGAAAAGAGATAAAGAGAGGCTTGGCAGGGAGGGAGGAGTATAAGATAAATGATCTGTTTGACATTTATTACAGTATAGTTAAAAGTGATAAGCATAAAGGAGAGTAATATGACACATTTTATAGGAAGGCATTCATTTTCAGTCCCAACACCTACAAGTTTAAAGATGGAGGACTGAAAAAGATATTTAAAGAAATGAAATTTGAGTCCACTATAACCGAGTTTCCAAGTTCTAAGCTGTTCACTATAAGCGTTAAAAATAACATTATTTAAATAGGAATACGGACGGGACCGCTAAAAAAGTCAACTACATCCGAGTGTTCACTATATCCCAGGTTCACTATAGCGGGGTTCGACTGTATATAAACACATTTGATTAGATTTACTACATAATTTTATTTCAAAAAACATTTATAAGTAATCATAAAATTACACATATAAGAAGTAATTGTGATGTAATTGTGTGTAACCACATGAAGCATTGCAAGATTGCATCTCCAAAAAGTAAAAAATTCATGAGAGTAGATTTTTAAACACACACAAAAAAAGTTATTTTGTTATGCATTATGGATTTACCTTCCTCATTTGCAGAAGTAAATAAACACTTCTAAACAGGGGCAAGAAAAAAAACTGATAAATAAGCTATAACTAGGCAATAGGAGCCATTTTAATACTTTAAATGCCTAAGAGAAGGTTAGAAATTTGCTTATTTTCAATGAACAGGAGAAAAGAGAGTACAGGCAATGAGTAAAAATATACTGAATTCCTTCCTTTGAAAAAATTCATTTAAAATTTGAAAAATAATTTTCTTTTGAAAAATCTCTGGTAAGTTTACAGCTTGTATAAAATAGATGAGAGATTGAAATTGCCAAAAATATGCTTTTCTAACATTTGCATAGCCTCTAAAAAAAATTAACAACAGAGAGTGGTGGTAGATTACAAAGAGTATCAAAAAAGTTTCAAAAGGTTAAATCTACTCATAATGCATACTGGAATAAAACTTTCTATTCATGACCTATGTTTGCAAAATGCAAATTATTTTTAAAATTCTGATATATTTTTGAAAGAAATTGACAAAAAAAATTTGTCCAAACTTTTTTTTAAACAAAAAAAAAAAAAACTGAATAAAGGGTTCTTTACCACAAACACTAAGAATTTAAACTTGACTAAGTTCCATATAATTTCTCAAGAAACTCAAAACATTATTTATACTCACAGAAATAATAGATTTAAAGAGAGTACTTAACTAAAAAGAAATAAATTATTTGTAGTGAGAAAGATTTTAAGGTGATTAATAACTTACAAATAAATGAGTTAGATTAACTTTGTATGCGCACATATTTATTCTGATATGGATGCTAGAAAATTTAAGGATCAAAACATGATGTGAAAAAAAAAACTTTGTGAATATGCATTTAATGTCACACAGATCATCTCAGCCCAAATAATTTTAATACATAAATAAATAAATAGTCTAACATATGACTGGGTCTTGGTTTACAAGATTTTTAAGTTGGAAAAATATTGTAATGACCAATCTAAAAATGAAATTTTAAATGCAGATTACTATAAAAAAGAATACCTTAAATTTCTCAGCACTTTCTCTCACTTAAACATAAACCAAAAAAAAATTTTGAAAAAATGAAACAATATTAATATTGTTCAACTAGTTACTAAGATACAAAACTCTAGTAAACAAGTTACAAGAAGCTAATCTACCCATCACTATATTCAATTTAAATTGCACTTTGATTCAATTTACAAGATATATACCTTTTCCTCAATTATCTATGAATGTTTTAGTTTCCTTTCTCTATCAAAGCCATGTATCACATATCTTCACAACTAGGATTTACTCTGAAAATAAAATTAAATTAATATCTCTATCTGATATTTAATAATTTTCCAACAGTAAAGTTTATTAATATATATTGATAAATGTTGCAAAAAATTACTAAAATACTTTTTTATTTGTTTAGTTAGTTTGATACCTGCAAAATTTATTAACTAACAATAAATTGATTTTAGCAAAACTACTTCAAAATTCAATTATTCGATGCTTCTGGTGAAAACTAAGCAGAATACAACTACAGTGAAACCTCCTGTTATGGACACTCCTGCAAAACGGACGCCTCTCAATACGGACATATTTTTAATTCCCCGGGAATCTTCTATGAATAAACCATTACGTACATTCTCCGCAAAGCGGACACTCCCGTATCATATGTCTATTTTTAATTCCCCGGTATCATATGTCTAACGTGAGTTTCTATGCTAATAGGAAAATTATATTTATTTATCTGTAGCTACATCCAGAATTTTGTATTTATATCAAACTTCTTTATATATTCTTTTTTTATATTTATTATATAAAAAAGAATATATAAAGAAACTTCTTTTTTATCTCTTTTATATATTTCTTATTGTTTAAATAAATATTCTTGTAGATATTTACGGTATCCTTGAAGATATTATTTAATTATTTCTACATCTTTGAGAATATTCTAAAAACAATTTACGGTGTTAAATTTCGTTATTAGGGTACCCTTCCCGTAAACGGACAACTCTCATAAACGGACAAATTTTTTGGTCCCATGAATGTCCGCTTAACGGAGGTTTCACTGTATATANATGCATATATATACACGCACACATATATATACACACATATATATATACACACATATATATATACATATATATATATATACACCGGTATTAACCATGTTCCCTATCAAATGATAAGTAGGTGTAAGGGGATGTGAACCTAATAATTGAAACGGACTGAGGACAGTACGCTCCTATTTGGTATCATATGTCTAACTTGAGTATCTATGCTAATAGGAAAATTATATTTATTTATCTGTAGCTACATCCAGAATTATGTATTTATATCAAACTTCTTTATATATTCTTTTTTATCTTTCTTATTGTTTAAATAAATATTCTTGTAGATATTTAGAGTATCCTTGTAGATATTATTTAATAATTTCTACTTCTTTAAGAATATTCAAAACAATTTACGGTATTAAATTTCGTTATTAGGGTACCCTTCCCGTAAACGGACAAATTTTTTGGTCCCATGAATGTCCGCTTAACGGAGGTTTCACTGTATTCATTTTTTCATGTTTCTTGTTTTTTTCTTCTTCCTATTAATATTTTTTGAATAAATAAATAAGAATAACAGTTTGAGATCAAAAAATTTTTGCTTAAAAATTAGACTTTCAAAAGCAATATGAAAATGTAATTAAATGCTAAATTATCATCAATAAAAAAAAAATGTGAATCATTTATGGTAAAATGTGTAACAATCGTAGCAAATTGTTATTATTATTTTTTCTTTTGGAGTTTTTAAAACTTAAAACAATTACAAATATGATAAAAATGTACTTTTTAGTTAGAAATAAATATTAATTAAAAAACTTCTTAAAATTAACTTACTCATAAATACATATTATTTAGAAATTACCAATATTGAGTTCACATCAAAATCTGGGATACAGTCAGACAAACTCTGCTTCCTATCTCTCCATCCATTTGGAATACCAACTATTATTTCTTCTCTTCACTCTCATTTTTGCCTTTTTTTCTGCTTTACCTAGTAAACACAACTTCATATCAATTTTTATAAAAAACAATAAATTATCTTGTAGGTGGTTCAAGATCAATAGCATAATTTAGTACTAAAACAGGGAAATTTATTCAATAAAATATAAGAAAACTTATTGATAAAATTAAGATTTAAAAAATCTCTAATATTTCATCTCATAAATAATGATCGATTTGAATTCAGCTAAGTTGTAAGAAAAAATTTTTTAAAAATCAGATTTTCCAGATGGAAAAATTGTTTTACAGTTTCTATTCTTTCCAAAGGTAAAATTTTGTCTCATTATAAATGTTTAGGTATTATAGTTTTGTTCTTCTCAAACACTGGTCATTTGTGATGCCTATGCATGCAAGAAAGATTTTAAAACAAATAATAGAAAGTTTTTGTGACTACTTTCTTTTGTAAATTATTATAAATATCAACTTTTATACCACATTGTATAAGACAGTAGTTAGATAATAAAACTTCTTACTACTTACTTCACTTGTTGAATTAGTTTAGAAATAACATATAATTTTTTCATTTTGTATGAATTAATTCAAGTAACTCTAAAATCTATACTTTAAATTTCAAAATTATTTTTAAAAAAAATTTAAGAATGACATAAAATTACATTGAATAAAATATATTTGAATATAAAGAAATATACTATATAATGTACAAAAAAATGTTTTTATTGAGCTTTTAATATTTAATAAAACCGGCAAAACGTTTTTCTCCTTAGTAGTAAAACAACAATTATATGGGTTATAATTTATAGAAATTTGTTCAATTTTGCCATAAACTACTATTCTTGATTATCAGACCTTTCAAACATTTTTTATAATTCTTTAGATACAGTGCTAGAAAAGACCATTCAAGTGAACATAATTATTAACAATTTAAAATTATATTAATAAAAATTAAGAAACATTCAAGTTAGAAGCCATGTTTTCCCCTATACAATTAATTTAAATAGTTCTCAATTTGCAAATGTACAGTTGGAAATTTCACAGAATTCTCACACACTACTAAGAGAAAGTTATGCAATTAATAAAGGAATGAGATCTTCCTAATAACTTATTAAAAAAGTCATAAAAGAATTTTAAAACTTGTTTACATTTCGAACTGGAACACGCTCAAACATCTTAATTTGTGAACAAATTATAAAGCTTAGTTTTAAAATTTGGCTAAAGCTCTTTTTCTAGATTTTAGCTTTTCAGACAAAATACTTATGAACTCAGATTAAACTATGGAATTGCAATAAATATTTCATACATGCAGATAAACTTAAATTGCTTCGTAATTAATAAGTTTTCTTTAATTACAATTAAATAAAGATTGTACATGCACAGTTTTGAATAAATTAAAACTGTTTACTTCATAAGATGTCAAAAATATGTGCTAAATATTTTAAATTACTTAAACATACCTAAAAAATAATAATAATACCTAGCTCCTCTATTCTTCTACAAAAAAAACACAAGGACTACTTATTTCTGGCATTTCTATTTCAAATATCTTAGCACTGTCTATTTTCAGCAATTAAATTTCATATTTAAACGCTGCTTTTTCAAACATTCCAATTTTATTTATTTAAACTAATAAAAGCAATATTTTAAACATTAATGTAAAATGAATAGGATTAGTTGGATTAAAGAATTAAAATTGAATTGAGAAAAAATAATAATAATAATATTGCGTAATCTTTAAAGTGTTACCTGATGCCAGATTTAAGATTTTTTCTGTTCGGTTTCGATATTAATTTTAAAAGATATTTCAAATATACATTTTTAAATAAATAAATCACTGTTTGTGATCACAGCGTTAAAATTATGATGGAAACAACAAGCAGATCTGCTTTAAAATCAAAAATTTTACAGTAGTCCGAAGATTATACCAAATAATCGATTGTTAAAATACTGCCGGTAATCATCGATAGTTATAGCGCTGATTCTAATCTTCTGCTTTTTAATCTTGCACTTTAGAACGATTGAAAAAAAGTTTTCCTGTACACAGTTTCTAGTCCCTGGAATCTTGGTAATTTATTAATTCGCACTTCCTGTTTTTACTTTAAAAATCCTTCTTCATATTTATTATTTGTAATTTTTATGTTCTTTTTTTTCTGCAGTCAATATTCCATTCAAAATCATGAAGGCTGTTTGCGTATTAGTTGGTGAAAAAGTTAAAGGAACTATTCATTTCACCCAAGAAGTAAGTGGTGTTATATAATTATACTTAACATGTTTGTAAGTTCGCTTATTTTTTTATTTAAGCTAGAAAGCTTATAAAACTTAGAAAAGTTACTTTCTGACATAAATGGGGATTATTTTTGAACTTATGAAGCCTGTATTTAAATATAATTAAGCGAAATTCTTTTACTAGTAGAACTACTTTTGAATGTTCATGTGACAGATTGGGAGGAGTGTCTGTTTCTTGATTGTGCTGCTAGTCATTTTTTTCATTGTTACCTACGTTATAAACTTTCACAACAAAGTTATATGGAAATATTAATAAATTAAATTAACTCCACTTTAAAGTGAGTTCTTATTATCGATTTTCTATTCTGTCTAATAAGTAAGAAATAAATAGCACACTGAAGTGTTCTAAATGCTTCCATATTATCGAATTTTATGATCTAACACTTATGATTTTTTTTACAGAACAATGCAGTGGAAGCAATTAATTCTTTAATTGCTTCCATTGGTAATATTGATTGAATTTTTCTGCAGCTATTAAAATGGTTTCTTGAAATATTTAATTGTCAAATGAGATAATGGGTACTTTTAAATCTTGAGGTATGGCAGAATAATCGCCAAGTCTTGGCAACTTCAGGGCATCTACAAGACTAAAAACATCACAGAAAAAGATCAATTTTAATTGTAAATTTAAAATCTATTAGGCACCTTGGCGATTGTTGTTGACGCGACAGATCATGAGACGGAAATATTCCCTTTTTCCCACACCATAAATTTTCAGGAAACAGTTTCTTGGCAAGAGACTCAACCACTTTCTTAAGCGGTCTCTACTGCTAACACTTCATTCTTTGATGGAATGATTTTTGATGACTAAATACAATAACAAACTGGTGAATTTCTTAACTTTTTCTATTAGATAGGACAAGTTAACAAAATTCCTTAAAAAAAAACAAGTAATTTTCAGATCTATAATTGCAAAAGAAGTATTTGTTTCATTATTATGTATGAACAAAGATTAAAAGTTAAGAAATTTTGTTAAATGAATTATATAATTTCTCATTTTGTGTTAATATGTTACAGAAATATTCTCTGACTATTGTCTTTTTTTGAAATCCTAAACATTTCTTTTTTTTTTTGTTATTGATGGACTATTTATTCAACAATATATTCACTTAATTCCAAATAATGCTTGAACAGATGGCAGCATATAAGCAGAATTTTTAAAGAAATATGTATTTAAAAAAAACAAACAAAAAAAAACAATTTATTTAAAAGATGTGAATGAAAGGGAGAAAAGTTATTAGAATAAAAGTTTTTCAAGCAATTATTATAGAATAAAGTTTTATTTATTCTCGTATATAGTTTTAAAAAAAATGTTTTCACTTTTTCATTAAAATATATAAGATAAATGTTAAGAAAAAAATATCTATATTCGTCAAAAATATATTAGAAGACCAATAATTTTTTTTGACCCAAAGAATTTCATTTTTTTTTCTAATTTAATTTTGATTTAAAAGTAAGTATAATTAAATATTCTTATTGTGCTCCTATTTTTTCCCCCCTATTTGTCTTTTAGTTAACGCATGTATTCTTGAAAGTTAACTTAAAAAGTTTAAATATTTTTTAATGAATTGATGTGCTTGTTTGTAAAATTAGCCTCCTTTTAATGTCAATTCTCGGAAAGAATGTAATTTTACAATGTGGCATAAATATACTCTATATTTCTCTTTAGGATGGGGATGGCCCAGTTACTGTTACAGGAGAAATAGAAAATTTGTCTGAAGGTTTGCATGGCTTTCACATTCATGAATTTGGAGATAATACAAATGGTATAAATTTATATTTATTTTTTGTATACGAGAATGAAAGTTAAAGCATCAACATTTGATAAATATTTATTGAATTGTACTTAAGTTTATTAAAATAAGATCAAGATTCGATGTTTATTTTATTGTTTTGTTAATGTTAGAAACTGTTTATATTGTTTTATTACAAATTTATTTAGTAGAGATGGCTTATTATGGATCTTGTATTATAGATTTTTTAAAAAAAGTGAATATTGAAAGTTTACAGAATTGTGTGAATTACAAATCTATTTAGTTGAGAAGAATGTTTATTGTTCCAAATAATTTTTATTCAGTTTCAGCCCTTCAAATAGTTTTTTTATATTAATTACGTGTAGAAGATAATTTCTGGGAAACTTTTTTTTTTCCAATATAACAAATAAGTTATTATCTGACTTGTTATTTAAAGGATATTTCCTAATTTTTGGCTTTTATCTTCAGAAATATCTTCTAGAACCTTAAACTGAATTTAAGAATAAAATTAAGCAATTTTCTCATTGTAATTTTATTTTTTTTAATGTAAAATTTTCTTAAAAGAATTTCTAAGATTTTTAAACCCTTTTCATAAAATGTATAGTCTTAAATTACTTATATATCAAATCAAATTGTTAGACTAAAATTTCATGACTGTAGTATTATATTGTAAATTTTTTAGGTTGCATAAGTGCTGGTGCACACTTTAATCCTCATGGTAAAGAGCATGGAGCCCCTAATGACGACGAGAGGTTTGTACATTTATTAAATGAAAAGAGATCATTAAATCTTTATTTAAAATAATATTTATTAATTACCAATAACAGATACAATTTTTAAAGGGAAAAAAATAAGTATTCACTTATAATGGATATTTTTATAAAATCAATGTTGAAATTCTATGTGAGTACGGATTCTTTTAAAGATCTGTGGGGTAAACTGACAATGAATAACCCCAAGGCTTTTCAATTTGCTTCTTCTGAACAGAGCAGTTTAATTTAAGATTTCATTATATCTACTCCTATGATTCTGAGATCATTTTTGATCCAGTCTGACTCACTTGTGTATGGTCAACCTTTTCCGGTAGTCTACATTTTTGAAAATGTTAGTTTTTTGTGGTCTTAATTATAATATTAATAGATATACATCCTAGCTATGTAATTCTGTATGATTTGGTTGCTAATACTTGCTAAGTAGTACATGATTATACCTGATTCTCCTAATGTTATTTACTTTAACTATTAAGAAAAATTTCTAAATAGTTAAGGTAAATAAGGTTAGAAGAATTCTTGAGCATAAAATTTCTTTTAAATATTTGTAGTTTATTTTCTTTTTATTTATTTTTTGTCCAATTTTTGTAGCCATCTACACATATAATAAAATAAGAAAAATTTGTATCCTGTATATTGGTTTATAAGTATACCATAGGCTCTAAAAAATATGACATTGAGTATAAAGCTAAATTAGTTAAATTTATACAAATTACGAAGCTCTACTTTTGATTTTTAATCATATTTTTATTTCAGAGGCATTTAAAAAATGGAATTTTCTCATTGGTTTAGCAGAAGTCATTGTTTTAAGCTTTTAACGATTAAATTTTGTTAAATGTTTTAACGATAACTGAAATGTTTGTTAGCCCTAATTAAACAGGTTGTTTATTACACATTCTGTAATACTTAATTATTTTCATTCGTTACGCAGGTCATCTGAATGATCAACATGTCACCAAAATAGTATCTGAAACTACATGTTTCTTTCATTGATACTTATGCTTTTAAAATATGTTACCATATTTAAAATCATTAGTAATTGAAATAAAATATTTGGTATTGATGAACAAAATTAAAGGAGAAATAGTACTAATTTGTTGAGGAAATATTTTAAAAAGATATATTATTATTAATGCTGATGAATATTAATTTTGGTAACCTTTGCTAATTGAAGTAAAGTAATAATCTATGTACTATAAGGCAAAAGTAGTGGAAAATGGAACTAATTCATCTAAAAGAGTGTCAAAAATCAAGAAACTAATATTGGCAGCACTAATGCTTTATTTTGGTAATAAGTACTTATTGAAGTAAAAAAATATTCTATGGTCTTCAAAGCAAAATTAATGGAGATAATTTACTTATTGGTTATGTGGAACCATAAAAAGTCCTCATACACCAATGACACAAGGTATTATACAAAACAAATTTTTTGCATTTAAGACTAGTTAAGTATTAAAAATTATTTTATTTTTCAGTTACTCGTGTACTCTATCCCTCATTGCAATTTCAGTTTTTTTTCTAATAAAGTATAAAATTGTATAGTTAATGTTATAATTATTTTAAAGGTGTTGGTTCCGATATCTAAAGCATAACAAATTATCTTAATGATTGATTTTTGCATTAAAGTTTTAAATTGATTTTTTTTTCTTTTTTAGAAAATCAAATTACTTAAATCTTCAATTTTATAGCAAAATTTTTGACATTGATATGCTTAATTTACTTTTCATTTTATTTTTAAAAATGTCTGTAATTTTTAAAAATAAGCCATTTTACGTAATATTATGTTTATTTATTTTGTGATATTAATAGAATCTTGTACAACATTTAATCCAGTTTTTTTTCTTGTAATAAGTTCCAATCTTTAATTTCTTATTAGACATGTTGGTGATCTTGGAAATGTGGAAGTTGGTAGCAATGGAATTGCCAAAGTTAATATTACTGATAGTCTAATTTCTCTCACTGGACCCCTTTCTATCATTGGACGTTCTGCTGTGGTAAGAAACATTTTATTTTTGTTAATGATTTCTGTCTTGATGGGTTTTTTTTCTTCTTTTTTTCATCCTTTAAAACTAAATTAGTATTGAAATGTTGTCTTGGTGGTTAGAGTGGGGACTAAGATTCTTCAAATGAATATCATTCACATGAATGACTCTCCAGAAAGTATGATATTCAAGCATATAAAGCATGGTTTATGAAGTATTTTTTTAGTTGGTTTATTCATAAAATTAAATATTATTCAAACCTAGTTATGCATTGTATCCTCCTTAGTTTCAAATAATGATAAAAAAAAGGGCTTAAAGATGCTTATTTCTTCCCCTTTTCCAAAATGAAATATTTTTCCTTCACCGTGTCAATTTTTGGCACGAATTATACATGTGTGGTTTTCACATTGTTCTATTCAACTTTTTCCCAATTCATTCCACCACAATCCATTTCGGCGTATCGTCGGCCCTTTGTTTTTGCATGTTTGATGAAATGCTTGCGAGTCCACCATACTGAGCTAGATTTGGTGGGAAGGATGTTTGCACTCTTATATGCAACTCTGCTGCATTTCGCCAGAAATTCTCAGTTTCAGGCTTCATTTTCTGCCCTCTGTAATTAAACTGAAAAATCGTGAATTTTCGCTGATCACGAAGACATTGCCAAATTTTTTTCATTAATAAGGAAAGATGCATTTATATCTCTTGTTAAATTCATCGTTGGAGAAGCAATCTAAATGGCTTTTCACTGACAATCTAAATGGCTTTCTCACGCTTTTCTATTTATAGATCAGTATCATAATCCTATAATTTGTTTTGGGGATCATTCACTAATTATGTTATTTCATGTGAGACATATCCCCAAAGCAATCAAGAATCACAAAGCTTCATCACTTCGAAATTTTCATCTCCCTTTTATTTATTTAATTTAACAGTGAAAAAGTATTGAGATTTTAAATCATAAGATTTTTTTACACTTGTATTGTACTTAATTACTTTTACTGATTTATTTTATTACTTTTAAAATTTTCAGTGCTCTTAATTTGTTTTTTGATAAAACTCAATAATATGTAGAGGCAAGATTTTAAAGTAAGATTCGACGGACTTTCACTGTTTTAAATGCAGCAACAAAAAAAAAATCTTATGTCTTTTGTTATTCAGATTTGTTTTACCAAAAAAATTTAATTCATCTAATGAATTGATTTATAAACAGTTGAATTAAAAAAATTCAATTGTCGCAGATTTGTTTAAATATTATTAGTGTCGGGACCGTATAATAATTTACTTATTGTATAAGTTTTGGTGATGGGAATGTAAAACGTCAAATGAAACAATATGGCAATGAAACATCTTCTTTAATAGTAAAAGATAACAAACCATCAAGAAACTCACAAACTCCAATTAACAGGTTATTCGTTAAAAAACATTTAAAAGTTGTTATTAAAAGAACAATTGAAACTTAAACTTTTGATTGTAAACATCTCATACTGCAGGTGCGCGTCACCAGGTAGAAATGGAATATCGGTACTAAGTCTCGGGCGCTGCACAACAACCCTCTTGAAGGCAAACTGTCGTCTCCTTAAGTACTGGACATCAACCTTCTCACTCCCTTCCTTGGCCACCGGTTGATGCTCCTCCGCCGGTATTCATCCGTGCAAACTATTTCGGTTCGTCCTTCTACCTTCGGTCTTCGATCTAATACTCGATCCTTCTATTTCACATCGGCTTTTCATGCTGTCTCAGCTGTCGCAACCAACAGCCTATACACTTATTTATTAAAGTAATTATAAATTTAAAAAGAAAAAAAAGAACGAGCCTCTCAATATTTAATATATTCGAAATTGTGTATAAATTGTTTTTATGATGGTGGCTTATATAATCAGGAAAAAGAGTTCTTTGTCAGAAACTAGTTATTTTATCATGATCACATAAAGTATTTGAAAATTATTTTGCATTTTGTTAATGTTTATATGGAGAACTTGCAATTATGGGTGGAAAATTTTTACATAAGGATTTAAAAATATTTTTTGGAAGGGCTTTTTTGTTGAAAAATTTTGCTATGCACCTGGTACTTATAATAATGTTGAAATTTTATTTTTTGCCTATCGTAGGATATTTGTACTGTGTTTTCATAAATAATAAGCAGTAATAAGATGCTTATATAATAAGTTATGTATGCCATAAAATGAATTTCATATATTTCTACATAGACAATCCCTTTAAGTCATACAGATAGTAAATAATATGAATTAATTGTACCAAATATTGTCTAATCGATTGAATTTTGGATCTGGATTAGGTCTCAAGAAGTTATATTTTTATTGTAACATTTGGAATAAAATTAGCCTTTACAGGACACAGATAGAAATTAAATATTTGAGCCCAACCATGACAATAAAATTGTTTGTGCCTTCTAATTTAAAAATTCAGGGCTTGAGTTCCTGTTCTTATTGTTATGTTGATATATATATAAAAGCAAAATTAATGGAGATAATTTACTTATTGGTTATGTGGAACCATAAAAAGTCCTCATACACCAATGACACAAGGTATTATACAAAACAAATTTTTTGCATTTAAGACTAGTTAAGTATTAAAAATTATTTTATTTTTCAGTTACTCGTGTACTCTATCCCTCATTGCAATTTCAGTTTTTTTTCTAATAAAGTATAAAATTGTATAGTTAATGTTATAATTATTTTAAAGGTGTTGGTTCCGATATCTAAAGCATAACAAATTATCTTAATGATTGATTTTTGCATTAAAGTTTTAAATTGATTTTTTTTTCTTTTTTAGAAAATCAAATTACTTAAATCTTCAATTTTATAGCAAAATTTTTGACNATATATATATATATATATATATATTAAAAATATTTTTAGGTTCATGCTGATCCAGATGACTTGGGAAAAGGTGGTCATGAATTAAGCAAAACTACTGGCAATGCTGGTGGTAGATTAGCTTGTGGTGTCATTGGAGTTTCAAAGTGATTAGAGAGATTGAAGTCATTCCTTCAGTTAACAATTACAGCTATGAAATTATAAAATATTATACTTGTTATGTAATATGGTTGTAAAAACATTAAACTATTTTCATCCTTATATAGAAATTGATCTCCTATTTTTGTTTATTTAAGTTATAGTGCAGTGTACCTAAAATAAGTGTAATATTTTTTTTTCCAGTGTAAGATTCTTTTTCTGATTCACAATTTCCGTCCTTTTTATTATTTTTTATTTTAATGATTTACCTATTTTGCGTAATATTTCCAAGAACGCTGAAAAGTAACGTCTTTTTGTTATCCTGTAGAGAAAAAAATTATCATACCCTTTTGAATCTGTGTAAAAATTAATAAAATAAGACTTTAAATCCATTGATTGAATTGAAATTGAGGTCAAGTGCTGGCAAATGAAAGTTTCAATGTGTTTATTAGGGATTATTCACTGAAGTTTTTGAATTTCAGAAAATTTCTGCCAAACATGCTTCTTGCTGTCATAATTTTTAAGCTTTTGGATGAAACAATCTGTAAATGGGTAACTCGCAACTCTTTGTTTAAATTTTGAAGTAATTAAATAGTTTATACTGATGGTCTGCTAGTTGAAACTTATATTTTTTTTTAAAGGAAATTCTAATTAGTTACGGAATAATTAAATTCCGATAAACTTATCATATTGTATAGTAATGACTTTTCTGTTTAAAAAATTCTAATGTCTAAAACTAGTAATGAGAAATGAAATATACAGTATTTGAATCATTTATTTGGTCTAAGGTATCTTGATAAAATTACCAAATTTTATCACATATTACAAAACTATATTTTATTTATTGATTTTACTGAAATCATAACTGAATCGCTTTGGTGAGAATTGCCCAGTTTTTTGGTATTCCTATAGGTCCAGAAACTGTAAATTATTCCATATTCTGACAGTTTTGACCATACTTTTGTTTTTATTCTCAGTGTGGTGTTTTTACTAGAAAATTAGCAAAAATTACGTTTTTTTTAACATTATTTGACCACAACAAAGCAAATATTCTTCTTTCATATATCTATTTTTTGGTAATATTTTTATTCAGTATTCATCGAGATTTGCCGATGACCATATTTGTTTTATGGGACAGTAAAAAAATTGACTGTCTTCATCTTGTCTTCAAATATTTTTTTTTTATTTTCATTTATCAAATGGTTCATTATTTTATGTAATGACTAGAATAATAAGTATAAAATCGTTTAATCAATAAAATATTGTTGAAAAAAATCAGCCTGTTGCGAAAATGATAGCAACAGAATTTTTTTTATTGACTTGTTGAGAAAATTATAGCAACAGAATAATTTTATTTTTCATTAAAGCAACTGAATCGTATCCTTATACGTATATACTTAATTCTACAAAGATTACTGCTTTTTATCTTACTTTTTCGAATTTGACAAATGTATTTCAATATCCGTCCACGTTTACTGAATCAAATATCTCATTGTTCCTTTGTCAAATAATAAATAAATTAGTTTTATAAGGTTGATTGATTTTTATGCACAAAAATTATTACACTTTGGTTATAGCTAGCTTGATTTACAGATCAGTTATATGCTTGTTTCTTGATACTATATTTGACAAATCATACTTATTTCTTAGCTGCCACAATTATAAAAAGAAAAAATTTCTAGTGTTAGTCAAATGAAAATTGCAGCAAGCATTTTCTTAAAAGGAACATTAATAATTCACATATTAAAATTTCTGTACTCCTTTTTACTATAAAAATTCTTCCCCCCCCCCTTGTTCCTGGTTTCCCCGAGGGCTTTTGCGACACCCATAACAAAATGTCAAGCATTTTCAGACCGTGGGCAAAAAGGTACTCGAGAGCTCTCTAAGACATAAGTAGCAAACAATATCGATTGATTTCGTAAAATCGCAGATTGCGACTTCGAATAATATTGTTATGAACTACCGATCTAGGTAAAAACATCCGACTTTAACTCGTATTGTACGATATCGCAAAAATGATGTGGATATCGGTCGATATTTCCCCGTCTTTACAGACACTAGGATGTTGACTTTTATCGTCAACTCGATTTTCATGATACGAATGTTGTGGAACATTGCCTATTACTAAAATTACGTTATTTGTAATGAAAATTCGTATTTGTAAGTATTCAGCCCTGTCTGGACTCCAGAAAAGTCATAACTTTCTTTCTTCTGGATAAGAAACAGTCCGCAGTATATATATATATATATATGTTATAACTTTTAATTAGTCTTTGTAAGCAGGGATATTTTTCAATGGTTATACCAGCTTTTTCTTTTTTCCGCGATATGAACAGCCTTTTATAATTTTACTTCGTTTTTTTTCTTAATTTTTAGAATAATACTGAAAGTAATTAAAATGAAATCAAGCTATTTTCACTTTTTTTTTCTTCAATAAAATTCGATAGTTGTTTAACTTTATTTTGAGAATACCTGAAATTTCTTCTGAAAATAAACTTACAACTAAACCTAAAGAAAGAAGTTCTTTGGGGAGGCATGTGAGTGAGCATAAATGTTTTAATGGTCTTGTTCTAGTTAAAAAATAGCATAGTTTATAACTCAGTTCTTAAATATTTTCTTGATATAATAACAACAAAAAATTTATTTAAGTTGTGTTAATTCTCAGATAAAACATATTTTCTCTTTTCATATGGTTTTCTGAAAGTCTAATTACAAAATTTTGCTGTCCCGCAGTGGACTGATCGTTAAGACACGGTTCCCAGCAGATCACCGAAGTCAAGCATCACTGGCTGCTGTCAGTGTGCGGGTGGGTGACCACTTGGTTCAGCCTACTTAGGGGCCGAGGGTGTGCGGTATTGGTCCTCGTTAAACTGTTCTACCGTAAAGTGCTCGACTTCGCGCGCAGGTCGTCGGGCTACCAAAGCGGGGGAGCCATCCCCTCCGCACAGGATCAAAATTGCGATGGAATGTCTTCGGATCATCCTCAGGGATGTTTCCCAGACCGTCGCCAATAGCTGATTGTGCAGCTCTGGTGTGACGTAAATGAACAACAACAAAATTTTGCTCAAATAAGCAAATGGTTATAAATACGTTAAGTTTTTCATTTAGACTTCAAAAAGTTGCCTTTCCTAACAGTTAATGAAGAGAATTCTACTGGCATCATCCTGTATATCTTGTCTGAATCATCCTGTATATGAGCTATTGAATACTAATTTCTCTTTATAAATCCCTGTAGAACACCTAAGTCAAGGGAAACTGTCTGCGGTCAGTGAGCGGATGGTCGAATACTTTGATTTGCCTGTGCAGGGACTGAGAGTGGGCGGTATCATTTCCTGTTGAACTGTTTCACACCATAAGGCTCTCAACTTCGCTTGCAAAGTAGTTGGTCGATCAAAGATGGCATATCGGATCATCCTCGGTGTTTCCCAGACCGCAGCCATTAGAACATTATGTGAGCAGAGGTGGTGTAGAGGATAGAGCGTCTGCCCCCTCTTGACGTGAACCAGGTTCGAATCTCAGTAGTGGCTGGTTGATAATGGTTCCCTAGACAAAAAGATTGAGGCACAACCAATCCCAATGCGAATTTTTGTTCTACTTTAGCACTAATAGGAAAAGTAATACTTTATTTAAGGACCATTCACCGCATGCGAAAAATTCGAGAAAGGGAATTTGGATATGTGATTGCAAAGCTGATTGGTTAAATATATTTGCCAGTGAAAACTCACCAGTCAGGTTCTCGATCACATCTCCGATTTCAAAATGCGATGTTTTTCACCTGCAACTAAAATAGACCCTATACGTTGCACCAAAGCAGCACAAAGGGGTATTGATGGGAAATATCCATCAGAAATTCGCATATTTTCTAGACCATGGTCAGAGGTGTATGAACCCCATTCATTGTGAATGGCTCTTTATGTCAGAACAATTCACCGAAGATCGATACTGCACACCCTTGGTCCCTATGCAAAGTGATCATCCACCCACACAGCGAATGCAGGCTTGACATCAGTGTTTTACTGGGAACCTGTGGTAATGTCCATTATGGGTAACTCGCTAGTCAAGATCCGAATTCACATCAATAAATTTTTTGTGCAATGAGAATAACCCTTAAAATACTTTAACTTGAAATTCTCTGCGTTTAAAACTATACAGAAATAAACAGCCAGAAGCATTTAATATAAACAAACGAAATATAAACAAGCATGATTTTTGTTGTTGTGGTTGTTGGATATCGGTTCGGTATTGATTTTTCTCGTTTCGCTTGGTGTGTTAAGTTTCTTTAATAAAATAACAAAAATAAATGTTGAAATTTTCTTGTATACATTTAATGATTTTGACTTTGCTTTATAAGACGTTATAAAGAAAACAAGACGAAGAAAAAAAGTTATATAACTCTAAGTTACATAAGAAGTTTTCTTTGACCTTCTAAAAATTTTCAATGGATATTTTTCATTTTTTAATACTATTTATTGATAATCAATCCTCATTTTATTATAAATTTTACTGAATGGCATTTGATAATTTTTTTTTCTTACTGAAATGTTTATTCAATATGGACTCAAACCCATATTTTCAAAATTTGAAGAATTCCTCACAAATAACTTTTTTTTCTTTATTGCGTATTCGTATTATTTTAATTGTAAACATGGTCTAATCTCATGTTTCAAGGAAGTGATTTTAATCCTGTGATTAAATAAAATACCTAATTTTTTTTATTATTACCTATAGGTGTTTAGGAGTTTTACTCTTTGAGTTGGTCCTTTTTGTGCTGTTTTTTAATTTTCTCCCAGCCTACTTTCCAGAAGAAGCCTGTGAGAAACTAAAAAACAAACGAACTCGAAAGAGTATACCTCAGTATCAGTATAAGAATAAACTCAAAAGGGTATATCTCGTATTCACCCTGCGGGACTCAAAGATTTTTAACATTTTTGCAGGTTTATAATATCTATTTGTCTCCTCAGCAATTGTAGTTAGTGAACAGATATTGATTCAAAAATATCTTCCTGTTGATTATAATTTTGTGCATTTTTTTAATATATGTATTGGATAGAATTCGGTATCTGTACCAAGAAAGTTGCCAAATTTTTTTTACTTTTTAGGGGCAGAAATTATATATATATATATAAAACCCACGGAAGGAGCCAATTTGAAGTGTATAACTCATGGCTAATCGTTGCAAACAATTTCAGTAGAGCGCCGATTATCCGAACTGCTCGGGACCGAACGTGGTTCGGATAATGAAAAGTTCGGATAATTGGAAAGTTGTTTAAAATCTAGTTTAAATGATTATTATTTATGCACTAACTTCCATTCACACTTTTTCCAGGTTTAGGACTGGCAGTACCATCAAAAATAGCTCTGTTTAAAAAAAAATTCAATTTTTAAATATTTTTATTTAATTTTTTTAATTTTTTTTAATCATACTTCAGCTATTTATAATTTTTTTTTGTCAATTGCTGATTTTACCACATTTTTCTTTATTTTCCATTGAAAAAGAAATCCAGCAAAGACTTTTGTTTCAAAGATGCTCTTTTTTGAGCAGCGATATACCTTATTCTTTTTAAATAAATCAACTGAACATCAACATCATTTTGACGTTCTAGCCAATTCATTGCAATATCTAATGAATTGCATGCTTCTATATGAGAAGGTTCACTATCCTAAACTTGATCATCTATTTGTTCCTATTCATCTGTGGAGTTCCGATTTTCTTTCAAAATTTCAGCAAACAATTTCATCATCATTTAAAATTTGAAATTCTAGGACGTTTTCAGTGTCTCGACACCAGCCTTCCATTTCTTCTGCTGCATAACCTGACATCTCTTCAACTGGAAGATCTACTGGCTCAGAAATTTTGAAAAATTGTTAATAAGTCAAAAATTATTCTAAACTTTAAAAAAAAAAATGAATTCAGGCATAGTTCGGATAATTGGACGTTCGGATGATAAGGGTTCGGATAATCGGCGCTCTACTGTATATATATATGTGAGGGAAGTCTTTGCTTCCCCTTCATTAGCCGTATAGTTGATAGTGGTTATATAAATGTTCATTTAGGCCAATATTGAATGAATAAAAACAATAACGTTTCCAGGAAATAATGTACAAATCGTTGAATGTAAATTTAGATTTTATTAAGCATAATTTAAGATTTCGAGTGGCCACATTTTCATCCTAAATAAGAAATCCCTTAAAGGGATGAAATAATAATACTCTCTATTGAGAGATCATAAAGCCAGAACAACATTTCTGACCGTTAGAAAATTGAGACTGGGAGGCCCCCAAAAGGGGTCCCAGCCTCATCAATTTAGAAATTAAAAGTGAATATATTTATTCTCAACGGACAGAGAAAGTATGGGTAGGAGATCCATAATTGGTGGCGATTTATCACCGTATATCATAGCCAAAAACAAAGCCAACTAGCATATCCACATGGGTTTAAAAGAACACCTTGGCGATCACGAGTCGCCAACAAATTTATGTGAATTATTATAACCATGCAACCGAAACATTTAGCCGTTGGAAAATTAGAATCAACAGTTATAAATAGATTTTTGTTCTCGATTAGAGGCGACAGTGAATTAATATGTCTGCATAATAATGAAATAAAAAGAAAGTATCCGTTACATTAATCTGGAAGAGAAGAAATAAATATTTTATGTTCGCTTAAAAAGATTAAGTTTTTGATTTATTTTAAAAATAATTCTATTAATAAAAATAAGCTTAAGTAATGAAGGATATTTTAAAAAGATAGGAAATAAATATGTAATGCCAAATTCTGGCATCACATATATATGTATGTTTTTGCAAGTTTATAAACCCTTTGATGCCTTTGTACCTTTTAAACCCTTTGATGCAGCTTATATCTATATCCAAATTCAATTTGTAGATTAAAATTATTATTTTTTATTTTAGAAATAAGTATCTCTTACTCTTCACAGTAATTACAAAGAACATTTTTCTTCACAATTTGTTTAATAGTTGAAATGCTTATATAGATCTTCATTCTTTTTTCAGAATATTATATTGAATTTGGTACTTACTTGATAAGATGATATTGAAAAGTGTAATTGTAAATGCTTTAGTATTTTTCTGCTAAACAACATTGCTACCTTGCAACATTCTGCTAAACAACATTGCTTTCATTGAAGTATTTTGCTACTAATTGTGGAATTGGAACAGTATTGAAGTAATTTTGATTTTTATTACCTAAAGACTATTATTATTGACTTTTTATCTATTATAACCTATTAAATTATATTTCAATTTACTTGTATTATTTTTTTTATTTTTAAAAGACGCAGTATGTTGGCCTGAATCTATACTTAGGGTTCAGCTTATCAAGTAGAATGGATTTTAAAATTTAACAAAAATCTGTCCATGATGCATAATTAAATTTACAAAAAGCAAATTTTTAGCTATGGCATTAACTGAAACCTTCATAGTCCAAAGCTGTAGTTGTTGCATTAACTTTAAGGGCCTGTAAGCTGAAAATTAATACAGATAAATTTGTATTTAGGAATTTTGATTTGAAATATGAATTTTACGTGACTTGAAAATAAAAAGTGTTTCTATGAATTCATAGATTCTGATATTTAAATTATTGATTCAAAATCTGTTTTAAAAATGACACAAAAAGGTTATAATGGAGAATTATACTTGGTACAAACGGTGCACTGTAAAAAAATTTTCAGGTAAAAGATTATCAATTATTATTGATAAAAGGTCATTGGCTAAAGCAGCTATTGTTCACAAGAAAAATCCATCATTCAGGAATTAGATACTTTAATTTTTAATTGACTATGTGGAGGCCATAAATTCATGAGCTACAAGCTAAGTAAAATCAAAATCGAAGAAGTATTTTACTAAACACAACCTTATAATAAGAATGAATCTTATTTAGCAACTGCCTTTGTTTCAAGATTTGAAAATAAAAAAATTGTTATACCTCCTTTATAAGTAGAGATTTGCTTATGAGGTTCACATCTGAATGATGGTAATGCTTTGGTGTGCTGCTTTATTGTATCGGTGGTTGTTCTTTAGTAGTTCATTTAGATTTATTTAACTTCTCACAAATTTAATATTTAATACGAAATAATGTAATTTAATAGTTTTACGAAAACTGAAATCAGCTTTTTAAAACTGAAATCAGCTTATGAAAACTTTAGTACTATGTAATATTATACAATATTGTGGTGAAATTGATCAGAAATTAGTATCATTAATTTTGACTTAGGTTAAGCTTAAAAGTTGAATTTAGCACCTTAGATTGAGTTCAATATTTCAGCCAGGGATTTGTTAGAAACTTCTTATTATATTGTAAGTGGGACTTACAAAAAATCATAATATTATAAATTAACAAAATGTTTCTTTCTTCTATGTTTCATCATGATTGTTAATTTTAGGATATACTTATTACATGCATTCATACTATCTATAAATTGCGTATTGCAATCAGTATTCATAAATTAAAAGCATTTTTACCGTCAGTCCTGTAACTATTCATAAGTTAATGTAAAAAAAAAAAATGCATAAAACATTTTGCAATAATCTGTACTGATTTAGCTTAGGTAAAGTTTTGTACAAATCTTTTGATATGTTTAGTAGTTATTATCTAAGTTAAATATTTTTGTCTGATCCTCACTTTAAAAAAATTTTTTTTTTGCAGAATATGGTTTTTACTCTATTTTATAAGAGGGGCGCTGGTGTCTCATCTCGATTTGTGTCATCATATTATTCGAAAAGAATGAAAACTATGCAAGCCTGGCAAACATTTGAATATGGAGGTCCTGAAAAATTGCAGTTAAACTCTTCTGCCGAAATACCAGTTATCCGAGATAGTTTAGATTGTTTAATAAAAGTTCATGCTGCAAGCATCAACCCATTGGATGTTGAAATGCTGGGTAAGATAGTATTAATACATTTATATAATGTGGTGGGCCCAAAACTAACAGGGGTCGGTCGGTCAGAGATTATTAAAATTTGACTCAGATTACCATAAAATAATTATCAGTGGTCTCCGGGACTATCAGTCGCATAATTTCTATGCTATAATATGCTACTTTGGTTTTTTGAATTTACATTTTGTAATTTGGTTTGTGTTTCATAATACAAAATGGTATATTTCATTATAATTGAGTTATTATTCATTCTTTGTATTATAATTTTCCTTTTAAATTTATTTTTCTCAAAGAAAAAAAACTTTCAATTCGTTTCTTTTAAGATTCATTTTCTTTAAATTCACCTTATCTTAAATTCACCTTCACTTTTCTTTTCTTAGTTACTGGTTTAACAGCTAAGGAATTACTTGTCTTGATTTGTACCCCATATGTTTTAGTTCAAAATGTTTAGTAAATTAGTTTTTTAGTTCCAAGCAAAGATTATATTTTATTTTTTATTCTATAATCGTCATTAAACAGCCAACCCAATTTTTGGTTGAAATCTTTATTCAGATTGAATTTTGTAACTGTTATTGCCACCACCAAAGCAAAACACAGATAAATATACATCTATCTTTCTTTTATTATTTGCTGAACAAACTTTTAATTTTATTTTAATATTATGTGTGCTTCAACGAAACTGTAAACAAAAACTCTTAATTTTTGAAGGAAAATTTTTTATGCAATAATAAAATTTAACTTCCGGTGAATCTGTTTCATTATCGAACTCTGCACAAATTTCCCTGATCCGAATAATGCAACTGTAATCCAGGTGCCTCACTTTAGTTTTGAAATGTTTACAGATAAAGTGATCCAGTAGATAAGTAATATTTTTAATTAGTTATTTGAACAGGAAATATTACTCCCTCTTTCCCTGGCTGGGCACTATAGAACTTTTTTTTAATTTTTTAACAAAGTAGGGTTATAGGAGAATGATTACGTCATAGAGGCTGACTGAGTCATAGGGGAAGAAGAATTCTAATAATATTATTTTGGAGTCGAATCAAAATTATGATGGATTACGAACATGTTTATTATTTTTTCTAGTATTACGAAACTTTATTTCGAGTTAATAATATGCTTAATGTATGTAAAGTTCCTAAATTATTTTAACAATAAATGTATGCTGATTTTAATTTTTTTTAAAATTAAGGGTAATAAGTATTATTTTTTTCTTTTTAGCTGGATATGGTGACACTTCTTTTAACTTTATGCGTCAGCTTAGTAAGTGTTCTTTAAATGCTCCGAGATTTCCTTTGGTACTCGGTCGTGACTTTTCAGGAACAGTTGTTCATGTAGGCAAGAGAGTCAAAAGTGTTAAAATAGGAGATGAGGTACAATTTATTTATTGCTTTCTTGATTACATTCCCACAAATTAGTATCAAAACTTAAATGAGCTTTTTTCTTTGTTTGTTTGTGTAAACTAGTGATAATCTGCCTCAATGAGTATAAAATTAGACCAAAGCAAACCTAATTTATTAGAAACGAGTGTTAATATTCTAGTCAAAGTTAACATGTTTTGACTGCTTAAAACAAGATGCCCATTTTTAAGACTTGAATGATGAAAATAGAATAGAAAAAAAAGAAGAAAAGAAAAGGCATATTTGAAAACAAAAATGAAAATAATGGGGAGAAACAAACCCCCCCCCCAAAAAAAAAAGTAGCTGGAGGGGAAATAGGGGCAAACCAGGGCAAGATTTTCTGTCGAAAATGCAGGAGAAAAGTGGAATTGATGCCAATAACTAGGGTATCGAAATTTATATGAATGAAACAAAATGAAGCGCATTCAAATGAGCTAATGTTTCAGGGCAGAATTTTGGTTTTATTAAAGTAAAATTTATCTTAACGGTGTCAAAGATTTATTGAACTCTTGATGAAAGATATATCTCTCTTGTTCCCTTATTCTAAATTTTAAAAGAAGTCTGATTTGCCCTATATAGTCAGGTTGTGTTGGCAACGTATGCAATAAATGTCCCAGTGATTATGAATCAGCCATAGATCTTAATTACCATCTACAGAAGAAAGGATGCTATTGATTATTGGGATAAAGAACAAAATTAATTGGCTTCATTAAAGTTGCTATAATATTTTATTATTATTTTGTATTAAGCATATTTCTATATACTGTAAGAACAAGTTATTTAATGTATTAATTGTAGGAGTATTTGTAAGGACATTATTTATATATCTTTATATTGGATATAATTGGTTTGGACACATTTATAGTTGGTTAAACACTGGTGTTAATAGTTTGAATCATATTTTAGTGATTATTGATTTCTTAAAACTGAATATAGTGTTAACCTTTGATTAGATTAAACAATGACAGGATGGATATTATTCGATTTTATAGCTATAAAAATACCATTCCAGTCGTTTAAAATTTTCAATGAAATATTTATAATTTTTCAATGAAATATAATTTTTTATGCATATTATTACATAATGAAATTTTCTTGTAATTGATTCTATAATTTATTTCCTGACTTTTTTATTCTAGGTTTGGGGTGCCCTTAGCCCTTGGGCAAATGGCTCTTTTGCTGAATATATGTTAGCACCTGTCTGTTATGTATGAATCTTATTTTAACATATTTTATTTATCTATATTTTAATTTATAAAATAGTGGTTTATAATTCTATTATTCCTTGAGTATTATTTAAATTTTTAATAATATGGATTGTTTTTATTCTATTGTAATTGTATTATTTACCTGCATTGTATTATTTACCTTTTAGATATGATTTTTTCCCTCGTTGTTAGTTAATTGAGACTAAGTAACCTTTGTTATATGTAAGATATTAAGCATTTATAAAGCTTTTCTAATAATTTTAATTTTATCTAATCTTTTGATTAAAAAGTATTTACAATTTAAGTATCAATTTTTTGCATTATTTATTATACTTGTATAATGCATATTATATATTGAATACATTGTATTTCATTTGATGTTACAGCTAATACTAATATTTAATTCACATTATGAATTTGTTTTATTCACATTAACCAGTCAGTTTTAATTTCTTTTAGATATCTAAAAAACCTAATTCATTGAATCATCCTGACGCATCTTCATTTCCATATGCTGCATTAACAGCTTGGTCTGCTCTTCGCATATTTGGAGGACTTTGTGAAAAATCATCTTATGGAAAAAGGTAGTTATATTTCACAATTATTTCCTGCAGACACTTGGACTTTCTTCTCACAAAATTATATAATTTTGTTAGGTAGCTTGAATTTTTATCCAATACTTAATATTCATTCACAATACTTAATAATCATTAGTTACTACTCAGGGGTCTGTGAAGGCCAAATTTACTACCATTTAACGGTACCTTCACAAATTCAACTTTAGGAAAAATGGTAGTGTCACAAAATACTTTTTCTTAAAATTTTATTTTTGTATCCCGTAATAAACGATAAAGCCATATTTTTGTGTTGATTTTTTAATATAAATTTTAATTTTCACAAATTATGTCTAAATTTTCACAAAATAGGTATCTCTCAGAAAAACCTAGACAGACCCTTGCTACTAATTAATCACAATGTTAAAAATTATTTTTAAAAAATATTACGTCATAAACAATATTGGTGGTCTGCTCGAAATTTAACGTTTTAACTCTTGTCATCCATAATTTGTCAGCTACTTATTCTGAAATACAAGAGTTCACTTATTTATCTCCTATGAGATATTCTTTTCATTTAATGTATCATGTAGTTTTGTTCAATGTATCATACAGTTTTGCTCAACGTATCATAAAGCCAATCAAGTATTCAGCCAATATCGAGCATATATAGAATTGTCCATTTTACCCCATAGTTGACACCCACTTTTCAATTAATATCTACGCTATATAGAATATTTATTAGCCAATGTTTAAAGCCATTTTAGAACCAATATTAAAAAATCTAAGCATTCCAATATTGATCCCTTGGTGCATGCTGTTATAGGACCTATATTTAGCGAAAGTAAAATTGTTGTTAGGGATGAGATACTATGCTACTCTTAATACCTAAGATATGCCTACCTTTTCTTTAGTTTTTACCATAAATTTAGTAAAACACAGTCTATTATTTTACTATATTAGTAATATTTTATAGAGTTCTTGTTATTGGAGCATCTGGAGGTGTTGGCACTATTAGTGTTCAGGTAAATATTATCTAATTTTTTTATTAAAGATTTATACGTTATTGCTTTATGAACTGAAATTTAAGTTAGATATTTCCAGTAAACTATTTCTTATTTTCAATAACTGTTAACTTTATACACTATAATTTTTTTTTTAAATATCCAATAAAATTTAAAAAAAATATTGTGACCTCTTTACAGTTATTAAAATCTTGGGGTGCTGATGTAACAGCTATTTGTAGCAGTGATGCAACAGAAATGTTATATAACCTAGGTGCTGATACAGTCTTAGATTATCAGAGTCCAGAATTTAAAATGAGTCTCAAGGAAATGAAAAAGTAAGTTTTGTTGAAATAAAAATCAATTATTGAAAAAAAAATAATGAAAATCTGAATAATTTTATTAATTCCTCTTTGGACCTTTATAGTTTATTGTAGTATTCCCTTTTTTCCAACTTGTATGTATGGCGCCTTTTATTTTTTAGGAAGACTGCTTTAAATTGAAAAATATTGGAAGGTTCTGTGACAAAGTAAAATTATGATAAAATTATTAATTATTGAAAAAAGAAATTGAATTGAATTTTGAAAGTCTGTGGGATAAAAAAAAGTATGAAAACAGAACTAATTCCCACTTTATTTTATTTCACCCAAATAATTTCTTGTTCTAATTTTTTAAACAAAACTTTTTGAGTGCCTTGTATTGTATTTATTTTATTTAGGAACTTAAATTGAAGTTTATATTTCAGATTTGATTTAATATTAGATAATGTTGGAAAAGAATATCCTGGGTTGTGTATGGATTTGCTAAATAATTGGAGAAACAGTAAATATGTTACTCTTGTTTCACCTTTATTGAAGAACACAGATGATCAAGGTTTGTTTATAGGTACATTTCTATCCGGTGTTCAGGCTGGCTTAGATACTGCCATGGTAAGTCAAAGTCTTTCTTATTCAAAATAAATAGCAAACATATGAAAACATATTTTTCTGATTTTAATACTTAGGTAAACTCAGTAGTCGAAACTAATGTTGTCGTTACTTTTTTCGTAGTATGTAGTTTAAATGTGATATTTCTTTTCAAAGAAGTTATGTAATGAGAAGTGCAATAAAAAACCCACACTCGTTAGTAGCAATTTCTGGATACTACTTTTATTTTAGTTTAGTAAAGAAACAAGGTGCAAATAATAACCAAGCAAATATGATTGCTACAAATCTTATCTCTCTGCACAAGGATTTACTAGAGGAGCAAGTTATAGCAGTCACAATAAGAATGTCCCTAATACACATTAGTTATTGGAAATAGAACAACTTTAAACATTTGACGAAATTATGAATATTTTGTTACATTTCTTCAATTAAATTAAAAAAAGGCATAAAAAGATGAAGATTAATAAAATAAAATTTTTAAAAAAATGTTAAAAATAATAAATAAGCTTATATAAAGTTATAATAATGAATAAGCTAAGATTGTAGGGTATTACGAAAATGAATTTAATATTCTCAACACTAATAATCAGCAGAAAAAGTTTTCTCAGATTACTGCTGAATAATATGCGAAACAAGTTAAGTAATAGCACCCATAAGAATCAAGATTTAAAAAAAAGGTTAATTTTATTTATTTTAATTAAGTTTATTAGAGATGAGACTTGTTTACTGATAAAAGGTTTCGGGTTCTCATAAAATTCTCACAAATTTTTTAATTGAACTTTTTAAACAGACATTTCGTTCAGTTATTAGATTTAAAAAATGTTAAGTTTCTAAAATATAAATAATCACAGCGATCTGCTACTCTATTTGGTGCTTTTGCTCTGTGAGGCTAACACTGATGCTCAAATGAATTTTATCTAGCTCGGGCGGACAAGGTCTCTAAGTAATCCTGTATATCTTGGTCTCTGGTGGGCTTGGATTAAAATTTCTTGGTCTCGCACCTCAGAAAGCGATCCTGATCTAGTCTCCAGAGTTTACCTTCAGCTAATAGTTTAATTTCACAAAATGAGATGCAATTGTTAGGAATCTATGTTAAAGTTGAGTTAAAATCACATTCAAATTCCCAACTAGCCCTTATAAAATGTTGAGACCATTTCCACACTGAATTAAATAGTCTCATCGATATTTTACAAGCAAATAACAAAAAGACTGTGTTAAGAACAAATCTCATTTATTCTATGTGTTATTTTGGGAAGAAAAATTTTGAATTCATTAAAAATTTGCCTGATAACCTGTCAGTCACATTGTCTGCCCTTGTAACATATTACTTTATTTTTTAAAGTTTTCAAATCTAGCAATTATGTATAAAGTGTAAAATTTTTAATAATTATTATTACCCAATCATTAAGTTTGTTCATTCAATTTTTAATTTGCTGTTTTTTATACTAGGCCTAGTTCTTGAAATTAGAACACTTTTTAGGTTCATATCAGTTTATTTGGCACTAAAGATAGATTGCATTATGTTCATATTAGGACACATTTTTTCACAAGCATATATCACATTGATCCGAAACTGACAGTCTACATCTCAATACATTAGCCATCTATGTACTAAGGGATTTTGTATCATCCTAAATAGTTGCACTTCTAATTATAGATTTAAATTATCCTTTGCTATAATCATGCATCATTGCTTAATCAACCTAGATTTCTGGATATCGTTTTATATTTTAAAATTATTCAGTTAATGTTCTTTCTGAAACTGCATTCTACCTAAGGTTCTTGTCCTACCCTTTCCCACACTTCTAATAGTCTTACAACTTTTTCTTTGTTGCAACTCGCTATTAATTTTTATTTTGGGCTTCCATCTCTCATTCTATGTATTATCACTGAGTTCTTCATCCTAATACTGAAACTATAGTATGTTTATGTGAAGCTCGTATTACGAGTTCATGCTTTGTCAGTGAAGCAATTAGATGATTATAAATATCATTTTACTAAATTCAACACACTAAAGTTCAGTACAGTACGGAGCAAAATAAAATCAAGACTTATTAAGTTTTGCTTTTTTAATGATCCTTCTTACCATTTTATTTTGTACATAAAAGATGTTATAAGGAAATTAAACAACTGAATATAATTACTCAATACAAACCAACTTTGTTTAAAAATATACCTTATTTTAAAAATTTGATTTGAATGGAGAAAGAGTTGAAAGACAAGAAAGAGATGGAAAGAATTTTTAATAAGTGTGGGTATTTATGACACTTGAAAACTGTTGAAAGAACAGAGCTGCAATTTTTTGTATGAAAAACTGTAAAAAAAAATAACGAAGCTTAAAGAAGACTGGGGATCTGGAAAACCTCATTTTCCCAGCAAATGACGAAAGAGCAGAATATCATGCTTAGCACAAAAAAATAAATAAATTATAATTGAAGTTCTGAAGAATTTATATAACACAAGTTCCTCCCTATTATGGAAACATTTTACTCCAATGGTTTTCTGCTAAAAAAAACAATGTTAGTTATCACACTTCAAGATGAACCACAAAATTATATAAGGATAATGGCCTGTTTTATCACCTAATCTCAATCATTCAGAGAGTTTGTGAAAGATAATGAAAAATTAACTTAAAAAAAGAAAGAAAGAAGACAGTTACAGATTTGGTAAAAAATATGGGACAAAACAATTTTTGACTCTTAAGTCTCTCGTTGAATCTGTGAAAAGACAGCTTCAAATAGTTATTAATGCTAAAGGAGAAATCTCAACTGATTTATCCGCATAATGTATAAAGACAGGCCATCTTTAAATGCATTCTGATTTCTATTTTTATTTACTTAAATGTAGCATTTTTTGTACTTCAAACTTTTTATTCATAATATTGTGTTTTTATTTTTATAGTCCTTTAAAGATGGAAAATCATTCAGATGGGCTTATTTCATGCCTAATGGTTGTATATTAAAGAAACTGGCACAAATGGTTGATAATAAACAGGTGAGGAATGGATACTAAAGTGTCATAATGAAAAGTCAGTAGCTAATACTAATTTTTTTCTTTTCTAGATAAACCCTGTAATTGAGAAAGTATATCCATTTGAAGAAGTTCCTCATGCCTTTGAAAAAGCAGTAAAAGGCCATGCAAGAGGAAAAACAGTAATAAACTTTACAGCAGAGCAAGATAAAAATCAAGAAAAACACAACTGAAAACAAAATTTGTAAATTTTATTTATTAAAAAAAGTCATTGTACATATTTATCAGCTTTAGAAAAATGGTTTGCTGATAGTTTACTAATGAAACATCTATATATGATCAATAAAATATCTTAGTATAATTTAACCTATGTACCATAGTTTAAATAAGAAATTTCTTTCTTGCTAATTGATGACGGCAATCACAACAAAATGAGGTATGTTTGATTGAGACATTAATTAGATAATGAAAACAATCTTCAAACAGTTCATTCAATCTCGCAGTATCATCAATCAACAAAAATTATACTTTGAACAAAACTGATACAAAAAGCACTTAATACATTGTTTAATTTCCAGAGACACTGTAAATATCACAAAAGTATAAACAATGAGCCAATAAAAGATTCATCTTTTAGACATATACTTTTTTGTAATAGAACTAAGAGTAAGAACTATGAATTTCAAATATGTTTACTATTATACTGCCAAGAAGAATAACTTAATATTTTCGTACATGATCAAACTATCAACCCCAAATAATGCAGCCATTTTATTCTTGTAAAAGATAGCAGTAATTTCTTTTCATGTTCACCAACTAACAATATATGACACACTGACATATCTTTTATAGTATTTTTTTACAAAAACAAAACACTAAAATGCGTTATTCAGGTATAGGAGTTTTATTTGACATTCATTAGCCCTACTGAACAACCACAGAGGGAAGTTATATAAATGCACCGCTTATAAAATAGTATATTTATAGTTTTCATGCAATCTGATAATTTTGTATTTTTTCTGTCGTTTGTGATTGAGGTTCAACTATGCCACATTGAATCATTTCAAACAGTTGTTTCTAAATTAATAAACAAATTAATCAATATGCTAAACCATAAACACAGATTTTGCAAATTGAACTGTTGTGATTAACTATAGCATTTTTAATTTAAGGTTAAACTTGAGATAAAATATAAAGCAAATGATTTAAACATAGATGAGCATAAAAATTATGTAATTTTCTTTTAGAAGAAAATTTGGGAAATTAATGTACAACTAAGATTTTAAATCAAAAACTTTTACTCACACTCAAACCTTTTTTTGAATACACTGACATAATATAAAGAAGTTGAGGCTGAACCACATACAACTGAATATTCAAACAAACAATATGAAGTAATAATTAAAAGAAATAATAGGATACAGCTTGAAGAATTAACCAGTAGAGCAATGAGAACAACATTTCGGAAAACAAAAATTATTTTTAAAGAGGGTTAAATCATCACATGCAGTGCAAATAGAAAATAAATGTTCTCTACAAATTGATCTTAAAGCAGCACAATTCAGATTATAACACAGTTTTACAATAGTGATATAACCTTTTGGTAGCTTTACAAGATATTTTTAAAGTCATAAATGTTGCCTCAAGTCACATAAATGAATTTTTAACAGCAAATAATTGAAACCAATTTAAGAATCTATCAATGCAAAAGAATCATGCAAAAATATTATGTGCCTATTAGAAGATTGAAATGAGGTTTAATATCATTAATGCTTGATTCATGAAATACAGAGAGGCTCTCACTCCAATTTGAAAGACGGTAAAAACAAAACTAGTTAGCAAAAATTAGTTATATAATCTGTTTTTTAGTTACAAGTTTTTGAATAGTATTCCAGTAAAGATAAACAGTATCAAATGGCACATGAACCAGAGTCTGATATACTACGATGAGAAAAAAATTAAAAACTGTTTAAGTAGTGACAAAAAAAGGGGGGGAGATCCTTAGGGTATCTTAAAATTGTGGGTCTTTTATTCATTTAACAGTTTGTACCATACATTGAGCCCTAGATACAGTGTTGCAATGTTTTTGAAACATTGGTAAAAGAAAGCGCGGAAGTGTAAATAAACCGTGGAAAAAATAAATCAACAAATCAAAAATGCAATATAATGACAACACACAAATAAAAGCAAATTTGAATTTTCAATGCTTAATTTTCATAATAATTGATAGTATATTATGTATATTTGCGAATGCATGTAGAAGAGATTTAAGTTTAATTGAAGGGCTTCAGGCAATATAGTGATAAATCACATTTTCTCAAAGGCTTTTACACGGTCAGACCTCAAAATAGGGTCACTTTTCCAAAGTCCCGGCTCACGGAATTCTTTGTTACAGATTATCGAATATAAGGTCATTTTAATCTAAGGCGAGGGGAGCTCTTTTCTAACAAAAGCCTATTTAACATCCTTACAAGGCAATGACCTCTCTCGAGTTCTAGGAAAATGTTGCAGCCAAGAAACACACCTGGAGAGTTTCCACTCCCCAGTTCACAAAGAATTTCCCCCTGCCTTCGTTGCCAGTAATTGCTCGTCCCTGTCCACACTTCCAGGGAGGAGGGGGGGGGCTTTCGTCGTTCGGACGGGAACAAAGGACAAGTTTTCCCATCATGTCACATGACCATTTGCTGACCAGACCAGAGGAAAGAATTTCATTCGAACCTCTCTCATCGTGTCATCATGTTGACAAAGAGAAAGACGTTGACTCAATCAGAGAAAGAAAAAAATTGCTGAAGATATGGAAAATTCAAATTTATCGAAAGGGCGTTTTGCCGAAGAACGTGGCATACCATGCAACACCTTAAACAATATTCTGTCGCAATGGAAATAGGAGAAAAAAAAAAGGATGCGTTTCCCCTTATGAGAAAATTGAAGAAGCCATTCTCCAATGGATAAAAATGGCTAGAGTACAAAATGTGCCGATATCATGATCAGTACTGAATGAAGAATTAAAAAATTCTACATGTTTTTGTTAACCTTAAACTTTTTAAATATCTTTAACTTAACAAATCCTGGTCACAGCACCAATTTTGTACAGTGCGTACAATGGTGCTTAGATTATTGATTAACTTGACCATTTTNAAAAAAAAAAAAAAAAAAACAGGCAGTTTCTGAAGCGGCGGAAAGTTGTTTTCATAGCAGATAATTGCACAGCTTATACCAACATCCCACAGTTAGCCTCAATTGAGCTTGTTTTCTTGCCACCCAATGTAAACACCGTTCTCTAACCATTGGATCAAAGAGTTATTCAAAACCTAAAAGTGAACTATCGTAAGCTCCTCCAGAATGACTTTATCGCTGCCATCGACCAAAAAAAGGAGTTTCACGTTACCGTCTTGGATGCCGTTTCTATGTGTACAAAAGTTGGAACACGGTGTTCATCACATGCATAGCAAATTGTTTTCATCATGCTGGTTTTGTGAGTTCTCTGAATGTCGTGGATGACGAAACCGAAGAAGACAACATTCCCCTATCTGTTCTGATGGAAGATCTGAAAAATCGAGGCCATGCCATTGAAAGGGAGGCTGAATATGGTTTGATTGATAAGGAATTGAAATTATTTTACAAACCATGAGGGAGCTGAGAAACATTTTGAGAAGTTACACAATCTAGAAAACATTGTTCGAAAAATGAAACGAAAAACGAGACAGAAATGCATAAACGATTATTTTAAATAAGGTAAGATGTAATGTATGTATGTACACTTTGAGAAAATTTGTAATTGCTTTCTTTCATTCTTTACTAATTCTGTAAAAATTTATTGACTTAAATATTTAATTTATGGCTGATTGGACCATTGAAGGACCATTTTTAAAAAATCATGTATACTTTTTATGTGCTTAGTTACAAACCGCAAATGAATCGGTTAAAAGGTAAACCTGCTTATAAGGTCACTTTTGCGATGCCTCTTAGGGTGACCTTATATCGAGGTCTGACTGTAGTTGCTTAACAATATACTGCTCCCGGCCCATAAATTACAATGAAGGTTATTAACAAAATTTACATATAATCATTGATTATGTGTTGGACAAAACATTTAATTTAAATAGACACCACAGATTAAGGCATTAAAAACCGCTAACACCTACAAAAATAAATTTTCTTTACTAGCAGAAACATATATGCAAATAAAAATGATATGAAAAGAATAAAAACATTCACATTAACAAATTCATTCAAAAAATTTGAAAATGCTTTATATTCCAGTTGTATCAATCATAAATTACAACAAAAATTATTTACACATAAAATAAATTATCATTACAGCATGATAAATAACACATAAATAACAAAATCTCAAAATTTTTTGAAGAACTAACTTATGAATTATGATTTATAAACACCATTCAAGATTTTTACTTTTATATTGTCCAATGGGCAAAATTCTCTTAATTTATTAATGGTAATACCTAAATACTTTTATATTTAATTCCTAAATTTTGTTTTTGAATGCCAAGCCTTAAAATATTATTTGAAAGCTTTAGATCTGTTTGTTTAAAGTGAAAATAAATATTCTCTGAACCAGTTAACCTGCTCCTCTTACTTATTTTGTTCTCTTTCTCTTAATAGGCAAGTCTAGTTTTCTAAAATTTGCAGAGTGCTCTTTTGAAATAAAAATAAATTCCACATTTTCAATATCTTTTTCTTAATTTTTAAACATTCAAGGTTTCACTCCTTTAACTCTTTACCATCAATAAATTTTAGTTAGAAAAGGATTTGAAAATCATCTGATTCAACAAAGGTGCCAAACACAATTTTTTTTAAAAAGTAAGCAATTAAATTGAAGATCATTGAGGATATCTATAAAGTAAAATGCATGGGGGAAAATAATTAAATCTATTGAACAGAAAATTGGCAAAATATTGCTTCCGACATTGCTATATGCTTATTCAGTTTTTTTAAAGATACAATATTGGAATTCTTGAATGGTGATGCTAAGTAACAAAAATAAATCAATACCATAAAATTAAATTTAAGTTACATTTCAAGATTTTTATGATATTAATCCATTTTCTATTCTTAATTTATCATTGTAGATAGAATAATTCCATGTTTGTGTGTGATCCAAAAGCAAGGAAAGAGAAACAGTCGATTTTAAGTTTTCTCTTTGGCTTTCCTTCTCTTAAATTTTTTATTGACACATAAAAATTAAAAACTTTTTGACATGTCCCAACTTTATTCAATAATTAATAATTTTAATGTAATTTGTATCTTAATTAACAATAAGAATACCAACAAAAAAAAAAAGAAATAAATAAAATAAAAAATATATAGTTAGAGCAAAATAATGATACACCAAAAAAAAATTACAAAGCTAATAAATTTATATTATTTAGGTTAAGAAAATAATTATCTCACTTTTTTAAAAATGTAAATTACTAAATTTACAAGCTAAAATACAAAGATAAAATTATTATTTTTTTTAAGTAGAATGCTTAAGTCTTAATAAAAAACAAGGGTTCAAGGAAGACTCAATTTAAATTTATCAACTAGCATCCTTCCTAAACGTAAGCATTTATTTAACATTAAGAAAAAAATATGATGAAAATTCTTTTTTAATGTATATTTTATTTAAAAAAAAATACTAAAGCAACAAATAAACAATCCCTTAAATGATTTAAAATGATAAACGAGAATAAAACTATACCCCATGATTAAAAAATATTTACAAATAGTAATTTGCTTAGAAATATATTAAACAGTCTAAAAGTCGATCATTAAAATCACAAAGAGCTAAAATAAATATTTCAATAATTGCCTATTATACACAAATTTTAATAAATAAAAGTAGCCTTTAAAATGTATTACTAATAGAAAGGATAAAATAAATACATCAGATTTAGGGAACAATACATGTTTTTTTTTTATACATCTAATAGGTGATGAAGAAAATATATTAAAACCATAAAGTACTTAAATAGTGTATTAAAACTTTTATGACTTGATGGCAAACATATGAACATCATGAGGAAATAAGCATATTCATATGATTGAGATATTTTAGTCATATGCTTGAATTATGTACTTTCTCCTCATAAACGGTTGGGACTATCAGTGTCTCTGCCTTTTTTGTTTTTGTTGCCAAGTGTAATAACCTGTTTTTGCAGCACTCTTACTTTAGACTGGAAAATAAAAGGCAAAATAATTTAGAAATGAATAGCAAAAATTAAAAAAGAAACACTGAAACAACACTATACCTGCAAATCTTCTACAAGGTCACCGTGCTGCTTTTGCATAGATTGTATTTTAAGTCGCAATTCCCGTTCTATAATTCCATGTTGCGCTTTTACTTCAGCAGCCTACAAATATTACTTACATGAATAGTTGGTTTAAAAAACTACAAAATACAATCTAGGTAAATCAGTATTATATAAAGGGCAGACAAATCACTAAAAATGTGAAATTGAAAACGAGCTGAACAAAAGATAATGCAGACTTGAACACTAATTTCCTTCTCTAACAATTGTTAAATTTCCAGGAACAGGAAATCAGCCCAGGCAAACCATGGTAGCTCATAGAATAGAACACTTGCTTTCCAATGACATGATTCTAGTTCAAATCCTAGTGATGGCTGGCCAAAACGAATCCTTCTCCCGACTTGCAACGACCACTAACGTAAAATATCCCCAGTGTTAGATGGATCAAAAGTTATAAGCTCCTTGCTGTCAGACTAACTTGGTTTTCCTCCCCATATAACTCGATTTAGGGTAGTACCATCAAAAAAGTCTTCCACGAAGGCTAGTTTGTCACAATGCTTGATAAAGGAGTCTCCCTATCTTTTGGTTTGGGTTTAATTACGAGACTTCCAAATTAAACATACACAGCCGTAAGCCAAAAAATGAGCTAGTTGTTCAATGTAACCATAAAATAAAATTACATTAAGCATAATGACTAAAAGGGCCTGCCCTCGCTCCAAATTTGCTTTGCAGCAATCTTCATCTTTCGCAGAATGCAGAATCTCAACAGTCATACGGCCACAATTTTCGGGGACATGAAGAATTTGAAATACACGGTGGACGCAATTTGGAATGTTCCAGTACTCTCAGCTACTAAGAAACGAACCATCCCTCTATGCTCCCCTCCATCTTTAATTTTGGATAGACACAATTTTCACTACGCTCACTTCCAGAGCAATAAAGAAACAACTGTGTAGTTTGGGTGCTCCTATTAAAGACAAGGCAGTGTTGATATGTATCAACAGTGTTGCCAATTTTGGTAATCAATGCATTTTATGGTCGGCGTTTGGATCTTAATGAACTTAAACTGAATCAGAGGCGCACCAGCCGAGTCTGGAACCCCTACTGTTTAGCCCCACAAGCATGCTTAATACTTCATTTATCGACCCACTGAGGGGATAAAAGGCTGAGCTAAGTTTGCCGGTCCTCCAGGAAATACCATCTCTATTTGCGACCATTTTTGGGAGGCACAGGATTTCTTCCATAAGTTTTGCATTGAAGAAAACCTTCAGGAGAGACATTCAATAACTCTCCCAGCGACCTAACAAAACCTCTGCACCACTCAAATAAGAAAACACGAAAAAATATCAAAACAAAAAAATATTTGTGAAATAAGTAATTAAAATGTGTTCAAAATATTTGTGTGAGGCTTTTACTTAGAGAGATGTTATTGACGACCTCTGAAAGAGATGTATAGCTTCATGTTACAGTCGAAGTGCATTGAAAACGATGTTATCAATGATTTATTTGTTAGAGTAGAAAGTTAAATTAGAAAAAAAAAAGTTTTTTTAGAAAAAACTAAGCATCCTCTTCTCATCTTTCAAAGATAAGGAATTTTTAAGGTATAAAATTAAAAATGCAAACAAACAGTAAAACATAATTGGTAAATTTGGTTTTATCCGTAATTATATCAGTAAGGATAATTTCTATTGAGGCTAAAATTTATTTATCGATCTGGTTTTAATAACGCCAATACAAGTGGCATTTCTGCACCAAGAAAGCTACATTGATTAAAATTGAAATCATATGCGAAAAATTGTCATTCTTCAATAACATTTTAAAGTTAATGGAGGTAACCCCTCTTAGAACAACCAACCATTATTAATTACCATTTTAATGTGGAACAGAGTGGTCACTCCCGAGATGTTTCAATGCATTTACAAGGAACTACTTGCTAAATTTTTCTCTGTCTTTGGTCCTTAACACCTTACTTTTTTTCATATAATTCTAAAGAAGGGTTTAATAACTACTTAACAACAGAAACTTAGATCAAATTTTACTGCTATTATTTTCTTAACTGATATGCTAACTATTTTTTTAAATTAAAAAACAAATTTAATTGGAACGCATTGGAAGCTTACATATCATCTTTCTCACAAACTTTAGTTGTTGATCCATACTTCTTCATTTTATAAAAAATTTACCTAACTTTCGAGCAATGTTTGCACTCTGACAGTTACTTGAAAAGTTTTGAGCCCTTTACTTTATTACAAAATTTTATAACAAACATTCTAAAATTGCTTATTCAAGATCAGAAACAGTTTAGAATTGGATTGATTTTTATAGAGTCTTTCATTTTTAAGGTTAAATTTGAGTGTAAGAAATATGATTCAGAAATTTTAAAAAAAATCGGAAGAACATCTTAATGATACCTTTCTTTACTTTAAGAGAGTAAAAATATATTGTAAACTATTTATTTAAATCATTTAAACAACCCAATTCAAATATATGCATGGAAAATGTAATTTAAGTTTCACAAATACACATCTTTCTGTAGATAAGGACTTCCTTGTACTGAGATATAAAAAACCGTAGCTGAGTACAAGTAAGGATGGAGGAGAATCATCGAGAAGGCCAGAGCCAATCTTGGGCTGCCGTGCCAATGATGATAACATACACATTTAGTACTTTAATGGCTTAATGAAATACAAAAATCATAAAAAAATTTCTAACATACATAACTCATTATTGTTGCTATTTCATACTTACTCTTACACGTTGAAAATTATTCCTCAAAATATGCAATTTAATGTTAAAAAGATACTTGATTTTAATTGAGCTTGAAACTACACTGTAGTAAAAGATATTAATAAATGTATCATTTGGGCTAAGTTAGATACAAGTTATATCTCTTAAGCTTACTTGTTTTTCCCGATGTAGCATTTCTGCATCTTTTAGGGCCAGTTTCTTCTGCAGAGTAGCTATTTCATCTTTTAATTGGTGCATAGCCACAACATGATCACTAGTACTAGACTCCAGTAATGTACTTTCACTAATCAAGAGGAAAATAAAATTATATTTTATATCAAAGAAATTTAATTTTAAAATAAATATTACATTCAGAAAATTAAGATTTGTTATGTATTGATTCAAGAAAAGGACCTTAAAAATTAATATCGGATTCAGGTGGATTTTTCTCTAAAAACCAAACAAGGAATGCTACGTGTTATTCTGCCTACTAAGTTGTTGCTTTAATTAGTCAGATATCGATGACAAGTACGACTATAGATAATTTTTAACTGAAGCTAATTGTCATAACTTCACTGGAAACTTATTTTGTCAAGAAACAGTCTTAAAAAAGCTACAGAAATAATTAAAATTTTAACTTTTATAACATTACATGCCTAGAAAACAGATGAATCAATTTTGACATTATTGAATAGTTTTTCAAAAAATATTCAAAGCTCAGTTCGAATCGCTTATACATTTTTACCACATTCTGAATGAAATAAAATTATTAAAAAAACATTGATAAATTTTACAGATACGAAAAATATATAATTATTTAAGTAATAAAAAGTAGAAATATATATTTAAGTAATAAATTTTACCTCGTTGGTAAAGTTCCGTTTGCAGATTTAGCCAAATCAAGCCTTGGTTTCTTGGATGGTGAATGTTCTTTCCTTTAAAAATAAATAAATTATTAAATTACATTTCTTCTCCCGCTTACGTTTGCTAATTTATTGTTATTATAATCAGTTTCCAAAAACTTAATTCTACAATACTTTCTGATTGCTAAATCTTTCCAGAATTTTACTGGTTTACTTTAGATAGTCTGTTAAAATGGCTATAATAAAAACTTTGTAGCTACATACACATATATACATTAATGACTGCTACAGTTGATGTAATTGTGTTTCTAAAAATTGAAAGGATAAAGGAAAGCTACATATAATCCCAAAAAAGACTGAAAACTTATAAATACAAAATTAATGAATTGACAATTTCTATGACATATAAAATAATTATTTTGAAGGAGGCAGAATGGAGCAGTTTATTTCATTCTGCTTAGGAAACCAGAACATTAAGTTTTAAAATGAGTTGCAGATGACACCACTAACAGAAAAAAAGCATAAAAACATTATTTTCAGCAATAACATGACTCAGTTAAAAAACAAAACAATTCTCTTACTGATTTTTCTATAACAAATTATTATGCAATGAAAACTAGACAGAGATAAAATACTAACTTAGACTTGCTAGAATGGCTCGATGATCGCCGGTGATTTTGAGATGAAGAGGAACGGTGGTGGCTTGAGGAAGATTTACCATGAGCAGAATGACGAGCCGCATTCTGCTTAGTTTTGGCCAGCGCTCGTTTGTAAGAAAGTGTGCACAACCAACATAGGAGTTTACCATCAACCTTAAATAAATCAGAAAATGAAATTCATGAAATTAAATAACTTCAGTATTCAGACAAAATTCTATACACATTAAAAACCATTCAAGAAGCAATTTTAAATGATTCTGTGCTGTACCAATTTTCTTTTGATTATATGATCGAACTAGTATCATTGTAAAGAAGGGCGAGGAAGAGAAGGGTTCCCACTTAATTTCAGAAGAAAAAAAAAGATTCTTGACTTTTCCAGGTACAGTACAGAACCTCTTATCCGGAAATCAGAACGGAATGCGATACATTCCCCCGCCATTTTTTTAAAAAAGAAATTTTTTCCCTCAAGATTTCAGAATTCTACTTTCTTTTTTAAAAGATGTTTACCAGCATTTTAGAAATAATCATTAATTCCCTACACTGTCAAAAGAAGTGAGAGTTTTTTCAAAATTATTCTAATTATATACATATTTTTTTAGTTGAGTTTGAGAATAAAAAAACGGCTTTTTTGTAGCGATTCAGAAAACCGGAAAAATCAGTTACTAGGAATAGCGATGGTCCTGATCGTTCTGGATAATCGGTTCTCTACTGTATTTCAATTTGAATCCAGACCATATTTTATCAATATCGTGCAATTTTTCATCAGAAGCTTTTTTTTATTTTTATTTGTAATGTTATTTATTTGTAAGTAGATTTTGTGAACAAAAAAATATCACTGAATGTGGACAGTGGAAACTTGAAAAAGTTTTACCAAAATGTGGAATCTTTACAACAAATAACTGGTCCCGTAGTGGACTGATCGTAAAGACAATGTAGAACAATGAAGTCAAGAATCACTGGCTGCAGTCAGTAAGCGGGTGGGCAACCACTTTGATCAGCAAGTGTAGGGGTCGAAGGTGCGAGGTATCAGTTCTCGTTTAACTGTTCTACCATAAAGTTCTCGACTTCTTCTGCAGGTCGCCGGACTACCAAAGCAGGAGAGCCACCCCCTCTACAGAGGATCAAAACAATTGTAAGACTGGTTATTTTATTCTAAGACTGGTTATTTTCGGGTATAATGTAGGAATTTCCCAGGTTTTGTAAAATAATCCAACTTTCCCAGACTATTACCTGTTTTTTATAGAATTTAAATAAAACTACCTGTCATAATCAATCATTTCGGTTATATCTAATAACAAAAAACCAATAAACTTCTGCTAATTTTTAAAAATTATATTTTCAAAAATTGATAATTACTAAAATTTGTAATTTTAAAATTTGTTCAAAAACTTAAAAGTACAAATTGAAATAATAAATCTATAAAATCAGTTAAACTGAAGGAATTAACAAAGGAAGGATGGAAAGTTCAAGAGAAGGAAGTTAAATAAAGGAAATATAAATCATTGATATATATCCTATTTAATGATAACTATTAAAATATTTACTTTCTTCCTACTGTCATCTTTTCTGTCAAAAGCACATTTTTGCTTGCACTGATCACAATTTACAGGATTACCATAGCGTTTCTCTGAGTTAGTGCACCTTTGACACTTATTCCCAATAAAAGCTGCAATGATATTACAGTATTCACATGCACTGGGCTGAAATAAAAAAAATTATACATTATAATTTAGAATATCACCTGCAATATTATACTACAAGTTCTGTATAATAACTTACAAGTTAAATAAAGAAACTATTTTATAAAATAAAAAATACTTTAATAATTATTTACAATTTCTAAATAATATTTTTTCCCTGTAAAGAAATATTAAAAGTACTTAGGTAAGTCTTAATGGAAAATTGATGATCTTACATGATGTGTATAAATAGGGCATTAAGTCAGGAAGTGGAAAAAAAATATTTTTCTTAAAAAAATAAGAACTTATCAAAATCTTAATGTACTAAAAATCAGTGGATAAAATAGTTATAGCTTAGGAATTTCCAATTCCTTAAAAAAAAAAAATTAAATCAAGATTTTTATATGCCTAAGAGAGCAATTTCGATTAAGAACAACACTTTCTGCATGAAAATAAAAAGTTTTTGTCATTGTGCCGTTATTTAGTGCAGTGTTTCTCAACTAGATTTACTTGAATGAATTGTAAGATGCTTCAATGTGGATATTATATGGTATTTGGTCCTGGGCATAATTTTTAAATACAAAATCATGGTACTTAAACAATTTTTTAACCAGTTTGTTCCTGGTCATTCTCACACTATCTACATTGAAAAATATTTTGAGTGTGAATTAACTATCCACATTAGTCTGAAACAGGTGTCCCCTACATTGCCCAAAAGATGTAAACAGATAGAAATATATGGTTAGCTACCTTTTTCAAAGGAAATTAGGTAAATTGTTTTTACCACCTTTCAAAATTTGTCAACAGATATGCTAAACGGAGAAAAAATTATTACACATCTTCAAAACAATTACATCATTTGTAGTCTGCTGAAGGCAGAGATATGTACAAATATTACAATTAGAACTGTTAAGCCATGGTGGCTCAAAGGATAGTGCTTGCCTCCTGATTAGAAGACATGGGTTTGAATCCCAGCGATGGCTATTTCTGCACCACCAAGCACCGGCAACAGTGCTGACATAAAATATCTTCGGTGCTAGAATCCCCTTGCCGTTAGGCCAACCATGGGAGATTTTCCTCTCCATGTAAAGCAAATGCAGTTTAGTTCCATTAAAAAAGTCCTCCACAAAGGCAAACATCTCTCAATACTTGATCCAGGACTCTTCTTCTGGATTAAGTTCAAAATTAATAGGCTACAAAGTTGAACATTATAAGTTGTAAATTCAAAATTGGGTAGGCTGTTCAACGACAGTTATAAACAGTCAGCTGTGCCATAATTTATAAATTCAGTGGGAAATTTTCTTAGAAACTATATATTTCTACTTATTTGTCATTTTTCAGACATTTAATAATAATTAGTTGTACATATCTAATCTCCATATGTTCTTTTTCTAATTATTTGTCATTTTTGTGACATTTGTTAATAAGTGTTATTTTTACAAGTCAAATTAATACAAATAATGAACTTTTTACAAAATTAACCTGGTGTATAGTTTTAGAGCTGAAGCAAGTTAAAACACACACATGAAAATGCAAAAAATTGTAGAACCATACCTTTCCATACAACTTGATATTTACTTCACATTTTTTGCAAACAAGAGATGAACTACTTTTAGATGTGCTAAACAGAATATAGATAAATTGTACTGACACATAAAAAAGCAAAATACATAAATTATAGACATGTGCTTCAATATCTTTAATATATCAATTCAAAAATATTCTTTAATGATAACTTATTTATTTATTTATTTTGTGCAAGGAAAGAAAATATAAATTTTCTCAGAAATAAGTAAAGCTGAAATTACTAACACAGCAAGTATGTACAGATAAAGATTCAGTTTTAAAGAAAAAGTGAGTCTAGAAATTAAATTATTTTCCTCCTAATTGAGCAATTCATTGAATGAAATATATAGATTTCATACTTCTGAAACATTTTAGGGTCATTTTAGAGTATTAATAATAAGTAAATAAGCTCATTAAAAAAATGTCCAAGTCCAAACTTGTAGCTTAAAACATAAAATAATCATTAGTTATTATTTAATACAAAACTTAAAAAAAAAAAAAAAAATTTAAATTTTTGCTTTTCATTATCATGCTAACATTTTCGTATTCATAAATCATAAAACTTTGAGTTTCATGTTTGCATTATAATATTTCATGTGTATATTTCATTCAATTTCAATTTATATTGATTCCAATATATTTATACATTGAAAACTAAAATAAACAACATATATTTTCTATTTTTTTAAGCAAGGGAAAAAAAAGGATAGTCAAGTAATATTCACTAATTTTATTTTATGAAATTATAATTGAAACAATAGTATATACATACATATCTTGAAACTCAGTTCTACAATATGTGCATTTAACAAGTGGAACACTTCCTCTACACTCCTATAAAGGAAAGTTAAATGTCAAAAATAAACATTCCGTACATAAAAAAAAGAAGATAAAATTAAATTTCAGTGAATTCAACACACATTAAGTAAATCCACAAAATGTTCACGGAAATTATAAGAAATTCTTTAACATCTCGCAGAACTGCTATTTTGCCATTCTCTTTAAATTACTTTACACAATAAACAATAATAATTAAAAAAAAAAGACATTGCCTATTTTAACAGCAAATAGGACGAGTAAAAATTATGATCTCACAATTACAAAAAACTGCCTGTAAAAGCAAATAAATATATCAGGTTTTGCTTCTTTCGGACTGTTACATTTGCATACTTGCCAACATCGGATAAATAAAATAATAAAAGATTTCACTAGCAACATTTTTTAGGCTACAAGTAAAGTTATCATACATCACACATAATCATGTAAGCCAAAAAAAAAGAGAAATTCAAAATTGGAAATAATATAGGCACTTACAGCTAGCGAAGTAAAAAATGTGTATATAAATCGTAATCTAAAGATGATATTTTTGAAACTATTATTTATAATTTCACTCAACATACTGCAGTACTGGCAATAGCACCATCTGTTGAGGAATAAGATAAGCTATCCATGGATATATTATAATTTTTTTTAAAATTTCTTCAACAAATATGGAGAAATTTGAGAATATACAGGTAAAAAGGAGATAAATGTAAAATACAGACATTTCTGTTAAAAAACAGGAGAGTTGGCAGGTATGCATTTGTATTTATAATTATTGAAGCTTCATAAAATAATGAATAGGAAATTCAACATTGAAGCATGGTTTAAAACAAATCTAACTTTTCTTTAGGTTTCTATTATAAATCTTTAAAATCTATATAGCAAAAAAAAAAAAAAAANAAAAAAAAAAAAAAAAAAAAAAAAAGACTTTATTTAAAAATTACAGAACCTACTTGCTGAAAATAATAATTTATAATATTGAAACACTATTTTAAAAATAGTGTACGTTTCATAATATTAATTTTTGAAGATTTGAGAAAAAATAGCATGAGCACATAAATAATGGAATGAACTTTAGAACCACCCATAAAATTTTAAAAAAATTCCTGATTACACTTTCGGTATACACAACATAATGTTATCTGAAATCTTTTTATTTAATATGCAATGAAATCTACTTTTTGGTAGAAAATATGCCATAGCTATGGATTATCTTTTTAATTTGTTAACTTTTGTGTTATTTCAAGCAATATTTCTCATTAAAATATTAATTTTCATTATTTATTTGTATGTCTTGCTTAAAATACTTATTACCAAGTAAAAAGAAAAACATTTTACATAGTATTCTGTACTTAAAAAATCCTTTAAAATAAATGAAATAAAGGTAAAATGTTATTACTGTTGTATGTTCCTAAACATCTGAATTTACCATGTTATGAAAAAGTTCCAGAGACAAATGTACACATATTCTGATATAGTATGACTGTCTATACTTGAATATGTATCATGAATATTCTTAGAATTTGTATACATTTGTTTTACGCATAATTTCTTTAAAGGCCAATAAGATTAATTTCAACTTAAAAAATTTGTGTGTGACTTTAATGAATGTAATTACTGTCCTCTTAATTTTCTTCTAAGAAACTGCGAGCTAAAATTCTAAGAAACTGCGAGCTATCTCTATAATATATGGATAGTTAAATTAAAGAAATGAAATATCTTTTCATCTATTTAGCAGAAACTATTGTTTTGTGATTACTATCCTGACACTTAAATGGGACAGTAATTACCTAAGGGCCTATAATTATTTTATTATCAAAAAACTTTTAATGTATTTGATTCATTTAATTATGTTACTACATACTTAGTTACTCTTTTGCCAAAATTTTTATTTGAGAGAAAATTTTTATTTGACAATAACTTTGTTAACAAACATAAGAATAATAAATTTCCAAACTTAAGAGCAAATTTATGACTGCCATTAATATTTTTGATATGAAGTTAAAATAATCTATTTACAAGCATTTAGAGGGTTATGAATACGTTCTGCTTTGTATTTCAACCGTTGTTTTAGAAAATCAAAATATTAACCTTGGTGAAGTAAAACTAAACAGCCAAAAAAAAATTTTTTTTTTGAAACGAAACTATATTTTTATTTATTTATTTTTTTTAAATCTTGAAATGGAAATTTACTCGCCATTTTATTCACCAATCATTCCAGCTTATCTGATATGTTCCTGAGGAAACTGGTTAACTTGTTCAGAACATCCTGTGTTGGAAGAAGGAATAAAATTTGAATACGTTGCCGCATGCGAGCAAGATCGAGAAGCAGAATCTTTACAAGGTTAAGAGGTTCAACCCTTGCTACACTTTCTAGATGTAGATCTAATGCTCCATGTGGTAAATACAAGAAAGATCACCCAAGAAAACCTGTGAACCTTATAGTCAAAATAGATCCGATTCATGTGATATATTTTTCTCGTCTAGTCAATCAACAGGAAAATCCCCCAAAAAATATCCTTCCAATTTCTCAAAAACCAGGAGTAAGGTGATGCAAGAAACTATTTTTACTTGTGAGGTGAATCTCACTGAACGAAGTTGATTAAGGGACCGAGTGCTCGATACCAGTCTACTCATCAAAGCGAACATAAAACAACTATTTGCTACACTAGAACATGTAAACAATAGAAGTCTTACAGTTGCAATAAAGGGCAAATCGATACCCATTAAACGGAGAGGAGTCATTTCCTTTGTTTCCGAAATTGGAGAGAAATTGAAATTAAGCAGAGCTCTATATGTATTAATTATGGAAGAGGAATTTTCAGTCCTTACAGAGGAGAACAAGAAAATGTTAATGCTAAATCACATCGTGCAGAAATGTGTTAAATTGAAAATTTTAAAATCCTACCCAGCGAAACCTCTAATAAAAACAGACATCTCTGTAATAGACTTTTTGAAATCGCCAATTGATTCAAGGACTATACACATCAATATTAAATTACTATTTGTTTGTAATCTTTTAAAAAACGCATTTGAAGTGCAATGCATACGAAGCAAGAGAAATATTGCAGACGCTTTCATTAATCCAGTAACAAAAAATTATTTGTTACAACTCCAACATAATCTGCTTGAAAGCAAAAAATCAGAACTTTGAATCGGACGCCTTAATTTTCGACTCTACTCGAGAGCATACATATCTCCTCAAAATAATTTTCTATAGCCGAAAGGAAAGTTTTTTTTTTTAGGAATTGACTCATACATTAAATAACAATGTACAACGATTGTAAGCTTCTTGTGAGTATGTTAGTATTTTTTTTTTACCTTTTAATGTAGTTTATAGCTATTTGATTGCAAAGATAAATTATAACTAAATCTTTTCTTTTTTGGTGAAGCTCAGCTTTGAAAATTTATAGTTTTTTTTGTAGCCGATAAATAAATAAATCCTAAGCTGAAATGAATTTTGCAATGATCAAATCGATTGAAATGAATTGTTAATATGCAATTCATTTTGATTTCACAGAAAATATGATTATTTTAACTGTTCAATCATGTGGTGTATTTAAAGCAATTTTGTTTACATCAATATTATATATATGGCATGACTGAGTAAATGTATATTTGTATGAACGTTTGCATTTTACAGGCCTAGAAGTAATTGTTTGATTGTGCATCACTATGTATATGCTTCATATTATCTAAGCTTTAATTTAAAGGAAATAATTTCACTAACAGTAAAACAAAATGCATCTATCTATACATGTTAGCGAGATTGATAATTTACATTTATCTCATGTTAGTGAATAGATATTTTTATTATTTGATTTTAGTACGAAAATCATGTACTTGTTGTATTAAACCATTTTTGCTATGTTTGTATTAAATCTAGTGTAAGGGCAGGTTGTTCATCTAAAGTTTATTTATGACGGCTATTATGACTCTTGAGTGTTGTAAGGGCTAGTTATAAAAACATTCCCTAACCATTTTTATCCCTCCCCCCTCAGAGGCTTTTCTTTCACCCATGATGTCACATCGCTCATCATGATGATGTCAGTGGTTGTAAAAGTTGGTTCTCTTTTCATGGATACTGATGCACTTAAGTAAGAAATCTTATCGCTTTTTGGAATGTTTTTATTTTAATTGGAACTTTGTCACTTGTTTGAAATAGTCCAAGCTCAATATTGTTTATTTTTTCTTCTTTATCATGCAGCAAATCTATTACCAGCCAGGTACTCATTATATATTAGTCAGGGTCTGTCCAGACATTTTGTGAAAGGTCCGGTTTTGTAAAATTGTGAAAAAATTACTCGTAATTTGTGAACATAAAATAAGTCACATTCTTTCAACCAGGATCCTGATTTTAAGAATTTGTGCAAATAGGGTCCTGTTATGGCAAAAAACTTTTTCAAGGAGTTTTTAAATTGTAAATCGATAGAAGATTATGCTCAACACATTATAATACAAAAAAATTAAAATTTCAAAAATAAACAGCAATTGCTGCTACTAAATTAGAGAAGTAACATACATATATTTGGTATTTAGCCTATACTGCTGAACACAGAATATTCATTTCGGACTAATAATGGAAGAAGCGTCTGACGAAAAACAAAACTTAATTCGTCTACATCGGTCTTCTCCCCCCCACCCCCCCCTTGAAAGAGTTTATTCGATTAACAAAACATTAAAGAAGGTAAACAAATTTGTGAAGGGCCCGATTAAAAGAAAAATCATTTTGTGAAGGGCCCGTTTTTATGAAAAGATATTTCGTGAAGGGTCCGTAACGGACCCAAATTTCTCCTAAACAGACCCCTGTCAGTGATATCTTCCGACTGGTTCAATTTATTTGGCCGACCAACAGCAGTTTTCATTCTAGATCTTAAAAAAGGGCAGGGCTTCCACCCTAAAAAAAGGGCATTGCTTATAAATATTTGCATATCTTTTAAGACATCAAAATATGCAATGTTCTAAATTTTATCATTAAAAAAAAAACTTATTTTATTCTAAAGAAAATTAGTCTAAATTAAAAAATAAATCCCCAGTTAAATTCGCAGATTTCATACGTTGGGTTTTAAAGGTTTTCATACGTTTTTTAATTCAAAATATTGGGATTTTAAAAACAATGTCGAAATGAATGAAAAAAAGATAAGCAATTATACCATAACTCCTGAAAAAGTGACTGAAAATTAATAAGGATATACGATGTAATATCACCGTGAATCATACGTGTGAAAAAGTGATTGCTATACCATGAAAGCTGCTACCCATAACACAGTATTAATTACATATGAATGGAAAAAAAGTTGAGGAAATAGTGGGGAGATTTCCGTATTGTGATATGTGTCAGAATAATCGCCAAGTCCTGGAAACTTCCAGGCTGTGCCCCACAAGAAACTTTAAAAAAAAAAAGTCACAGAAAGGGACAAACTTGAAAGGTAATAACTCGTAGCCACCCCCGGGCAACTCTACATATTTTTTTTTAAAAAAAATATGCAAGTTTAAAATCTATTTGGCATCTTTGCGACTGTAGTTGGTGAGACAGATCACGATACGGAAATATCTCCGAAATAGTCAAGAAACGGCAAACAGCTACCGAAATACGATTTGTAAATTATGTGGATTGATGATAAAATTGATCTAAATTGAGCAGGTGCCATCCCCTCCGCAGAGGATCAGAATTGTGATGGCATGTCTTCGGATCATCCTCCGGGATGTTTCCCAGACCGTCGCNGGGCAGCAGCGAGTGAGAAACTAAAAAAACATCACAGAAAGGGACCAACTCGAAAGGTATAACTCGTAACCACCCCCAGGCAAACATCTATAGGCTTTTTTAAAAAAATATGCAAGTTTAAAATCTATTTGGCATCTTTGCGACTGTAGTTGGTGAGACAGATCACGATACGGAAATATCTCCGAAATAGTCAAGAAACGGCAAACAGCTACCGAAATACGATTTGTAAATTATGTGGATTGATGATAAAATTGATCTAAATTGAGCAGGTGCCATCCCCTCCGCAGAGGATCAGAATTGTGATGGCATGTCTTCGGATCATCCTCCGGGATGTTTCCCAGACCGTTGCCAATAGCCGATTGTGCAGCCCTAGTGCGACGTAAATTAACAACAACAACAAAAAGCATCCAGTAAATCGAAAAATTTACTTGTGATAACATCGTATAAAATTTATCAAAATAAAAAAATAGTTTCCACATAACTGGGCAGTTAGGTTAATAGGTATATAAAGGGCAGTAAATAGTAAAAAAAAAGTAATTAAAGAGTGCAGGTAAAGTTTTATTTGTTCAAAGATCTAAGAAAATATCTCTTAAGCAGATAGGCAAATATTACTATGATCAGTCCATACTTATAATCTTTTGATCGGTAAAATTGAATATTTTATCTGCATCCCATAATCATGTTATTATTAATTAATATAACATCTCTTGGACCAGATATATAAACTTTTAGAAAGAGAAAGCAATTAGTTGTAAATAAGAATAATCTGGAAGAGCAATGTGTTATAAGCTAAATTTTTTGCGGTAGGATAATATATCTATTTTGAACAGACAGTAACGCAACATGACAACTGATCTAAGAAAAAAACGGAATCCATAGATGCACATAAAGATTAATAGCACGCAAATAATTTATCATCATTACATTTATTAATTTAATTCAAGTTATATGCTAAAAATGGTTCTACAAATCAACGCTGTTGTAAACAAACACACGTGAAACTGTATAGAACGTAGGTAGAATATAACTTAAAAAGCAGTTTACATTTGATTAACTAGATTCTTCTTAGATAATTATAAATTTTGAAAAATTAAAATTTAAACATACCTTGCAAAGTTGTTGACCTTGAGATAATTCTTCAAAAGGGTGACGACTATTGCATTTGGTACACGCAAATAAGGCAGTCGCAGCCATTGATTTTAAATAAATGACTTAAACAACGTCAATAAAAATTTTGCTTCTAACAAGGATTGTTGCTTTTTCTTGAATCGAATTTGTTTTCCAATGGTGTGTTTTGCAGGAAATTTTTACCCGAATTTCATTAGACGTACCTCAGTTTCTCAAAATGATTGCAAACAAAAGGAGAGATACGCCAGTTACAGTGAGTTGTACTAGATTATATTAATGTCATTAAGGTTGATGAACTGTATAAAATAAACCAATCAAAATTTCCCAGTGAAACGCTCTAAGGTTTCAATGCTTTAATATGATTGGTGAACAGACATCCACTTGTGGTCCAATAGTCATTTTGTTTGTTTTCAATCAGACATGCTAGTAAAATTATAACTTGAGTATATATTTAAGTTGATATATCGATATAATTAGTTTCGTTTTTAGCGTTTTTCTGTTTGTTTGAGTGGTTTATTGTTATTTATTTACCAATTAGTTTGCAAATTCTTGGTATTGCCGGCTATCTCTTTCAGTGATGGTTTGTAGTATTAAAGCATTTCTTTTTCATTTTTCTTTATTAGTGTATAAGCTATGCACCATCGAAAACTTTATCATCTATATTATATTCTAGATTTGTTTATTCTTTGTGCGGTATTTGCCAATTTTAACATTTTATTTCTTTGCAGGGCTTACTTTCTCTGCTTCGAAAATTAAAATCAGCTCCTGATAGAGAACTTAGAATTTTACTCTTAGGTCTTGATAATGCTGGAAAAACTACAATATTAAAGAAACTAGCATCTGAAGATGTGACACACATAACTCCTACTCAGGTTAATAAAATAAAACCTTTCATTAAAATTCATTAATATATCTGTTAATTTTAAAGCCTACTTCCTTAAATATTAAAGAGAATGTTATTAATTTTTTCTTTGATCTACCATTCTACTTATTTTATATACAGTATTCTGATTATCTCAGCTAGTCACTTCGAAATGGTGACTTAATGATTTGACTATGGAATAAAGCGGATCATATGTTTATTTTCTAATGGAAAAAGTTTACTTGAATTAAAGAAATTGTTTTGAAACATCATATTCAAATGCGATAATCATCATCATCAATTTTCTTTTACTAAGTGGTACTTTATATATTTGTTATAAAGTCTTATTTGTTATGTTATACATAGTTTGAATTCAGATTTCATAATCATTCCATATTTTTTTAACAAATTCTTCAACTGATGGTATCGTAATGTTAAAAATCATATTTTAATAATGCTTCACAGCATCAGTTTTCTTATTAGCATCTGTAAAATGCAATTATTCTATGAATGTAGATTGTTAGAATGAAATACAGTCTCCCATCTCTAATAAAAGAAGAATTGTTCCCGATATGATTTGCAGAATTGTGAGATTTTTATTTACACATTACAATATGCTTCCTACTGAATATAAACTTGTGTTTGTTCTCATTAAATTTTGTATTAACTAACAAAAATGATTTTTTTGTCCAAAAAATAATTTTTATTTACGAAAGCCAAAAGTAAGCATAGATCTATCCTAAAACTGATAATTCGGAGACGATTAATCAGAAACACAAATATACTGTACTTTCGGTACTACTACTTCTTGAGAGGTAGCATGAAGACCTATTGCTGCTCTACCATCATGAGTTCTGGATACCAGACTTGTTGGTGGCAGTTACAATAGTTATAGTCTGGTGTATTTATTTTTAATTGAAGAAAATGCTTTGGTTTGTCTGCCATGCTGAGCTAAAAACTGCCTTCTGCTTTTAATAGTTGTTTAACCCACTGGTGGTTTAGCAAATGGGTGAAATTGGGAAAATGTTTCTCCCCAATACACCACTTTTCTATCTAATAATGTGGGAAAACCAGTTTTGCTGTGTTGAGAGGACTGCAGGTCAAAATACGACTTTTTATGCGCAGAACCGCCAGTGGGTTAAGTAAATACCTGCCATCCCTACAACTTTGCTAAATACAGGGTATCCGCGCACCTGGAAAGTCATGAAAAATCATGAATTCCAGTATTGAACAAAATTTATCATGAAATGACCATGATTTTAACTATTTTTTCGAAAAAAAAACATGAAAAGTCATGGATTTAGGTTGCCAAAAAATCTAATTCTTAAAATGGAATTTACCTCCTCCCCTGAATTTCATGGTGTTCCGAATGTCTTAATTTGTAACAAAATCCCCACTCATAGTCATATTTGATTAAAAAATAAAATGTTTTTATCTGTGTTCTTTAAAAATTATGGTGTTCTTTCAAAACATGAAAGAAAAAACATTTCTAGAGGGAATTATCTTTTAAGCTTCTGATTGTAGAATTTTTGTTATTATTTATTTTTGTTTTATCAATTTAAAATTCTAGCTAAAGCAAGCGAGTCATTGGAGAATTTTTTTCATTCCGAAATGAGAACAGAAAAATCAGGAGTATTTCTTTCTTTTCCGATGAACAAGAAAAGTATCTTAAGATAATAATTCTGCAGAAAAAATTATTTGCTTTTGTATTTTTTTCAGCTATTTTATTGCTTCAACTCTTTCTTTACTCTGTTTTTTGTTTTTTAATTTTAAAATCTATAAATATGAAGATGCAGAGTATAACAGTTTTGGTTATACCTATCGTTTCAATGAATATTATTATAATGCTTTTTTTAATTTATTGCTGTGTTTTTGTCGGAGAAAATAGGAACTTCGTTAAGTCATGAAAAATTCTTGGAATTAATCATGGAAAGTCATGAATTTGAAATTTTAGAATGAAGCAGATACCCTGTAAATAAGCAAGTATTTTTACCTTACTGAGAGTTCATCTCATGATTCATAGATAGTATCTATATTAGTGTATTTGGTACCTATTACTACTATATCAGTAGTACTGATTATTACCATATTCTGAACTGAATGCTATACTATATTATTGATTGCATCACTCAGTTGAATAATAGTTTAGACATTCTTTAGTGCCCCTCAAAATAAAATAGTTCTAACTTTTCTTGATTCTTGATAAAATTTTCTATTCATTATTACTTAGTTAATTTATTAAGTGTTATTTGAATTATTTAAAAATATTCCTTTTTTAATGTCCTAGGGATTTAATATAAAAAGTGTTCAATCTGAAGGCTTCAAGCTTAATGTATGGGATATAGGTGGTCAACGAAAAATTAGGCCTTATTGGCGAAATTATTTTGAAAATACTGATGTTTTGGTAAGTATTAAAATTATTATATGTGTTTGAATACTTTGTTCAATACTATTTATAATAAAAACTGTAAAATATATACATACACTACTTAATTTATTACATAATGATGAAAATAACAAAGCATTATCTACATTTGATTTAAAAAGCTGTTTCATTCAAGTTCAGCCCTAAGCTAAGCCATTATATATATATTTTTAAAAAGTAATAATAGATGAAATAGAAATGAAACAAAAATATAATCCCTTATAATATTCAAACTTAATATTTATAAAAAAAATTGTAATTGCTAAAAAACAAAGATCTGTTATTTTTAGAATTACATTTTCTTGCTTCTGCAATAAAGATAAATTTACTTGTAGAGATTTTATTTTAAAGTTAATTTCTATGCATTTAATCATTATAAGACTAATTTAAAAAGAAACAATACATCTTATTTACTCTGTTTGTGCCTTACAATTTTGAAATAATAATTTGGCATTGTTTTATCTTATGTATTGACATTATGATAAATTTTTGTATAGTCACTTTATAGCAGTTTTAACACTAAGAAGCAATTTTTTTTACGAGCTTATTAATTGAAGTTGAATGATGTTATAGTTTTGAATAATAATAATACCTCAGAGAAATTGAGAAACTCTTATATCTTTTCAACTCTTCCGCATTCATTGTTAGTATTTCTCTAGAATTCTAATGCTGTATTTATTTATTACAAACTTATCAATTTTGAATTTTAAATATTCATTGTTAATTTGCATCATAATTAGATGACTATTAATAATGAGGAGGAAAGTCTATTATAAAATAGAAAGTAAAGTTTGTATAATGTTATCCTATGTGCATTGTTTTACCTGTTTTTATTTGATTTTATTATAAATACACAAAAATTGTTTGTACTTTGATGCTTATTAAGTAAATAACTTAATTTAGAGTTTTTTTTCCTATGCTGCTCAAAAAATAATGTATTTATGCATTTTAAAGAATTCACTTCTTTTTTTTACTATTTAGATTTATGTTATTGATAGTGCTGATAGAAAAAGGTTTGAAGAGACTGGTGTGGTAAGTTCACATTTTATTATCTAAGACTGTTTTGTTTCCTAAAAAGAACTGACAAAAACTGATACATATTTCAGATAAATTTAAAATTTAGATTGCATCTCATCATATGCATTAAATTAGTACACACACATAAAATTAATATTTTTTCTGCAAATTTTATTTTATATTTTAATTTAGAAGGCTGTTCCAAAATGCTGGAATGATTTGAATTTCACCGCATTTGTGCAATTAAATGTTGCCATAACAAATAAAATCAGTATAACGGCATACAGTTCAAGAATAATTGATAATTTATGACTTCATGAAGGAAGAACCATTTTCATTATTGAATCATGCTCTGACTGTGTAATTTTCGGTTTTGAAGATCAAGATTGGCTGTTTAGGTTTATGTTATGTAATTACCCAGACATTGAAAGTTAAATTTAGCACAATTTTGTCAAAAGTTTATATATGTGTGCTTTTCAATCTATAGACCTACATAACATACTTCATGAGTCAACGGTGTTAGCTTTAATTTTGATTTTTCATTTCTTAAGCTGAACTTCATTTATCTTTTATTGTAAGAGGAAAATAAATAATATTTGCTATCAAATATCAGTTTGTGTCACCAGTAACTATATTAATAATCTTTAACATATACCTTTGCAAGACTGATTCATCACTGTAATAATAAAACTTTTAATTAGTTTATAGCGAGGAGATTTGTCTTTCTAATTTTATTTATTTCAAAATATAGAGTCACCTTTGTTTTTTATCTTCTTTCTAATGTAATTTTCCTGAAATCTTATCATTTCCTTATTATCCTACAAAATTAGTGGGGCAGGTAAGTTTCAAATATAGCTGGAGTTATGAAAAACTTTTTATTATTAAAAATATTTAATAAAAAACTAGCTTTTCACACCTACTTTCTTAAAATAATAATAGTTATCTTTATGCAGAAAATAAAATAGTAAATTGAAAAGCTTCTATTTTTCATTTATATTTTGCCTGTTAAAGCTGGAAAACAAAACATGCTTTTATGCAAAACGTTTTGCTCATAAAGTAGATGTATTTGTTCCTCTTTATATGACTTAGTTGTTTTTATGCTTAGTGAATGTGCATATGCCTTCGTCTATGATGAACAATAAATTGTGCATTCACCTAAATGAGTATAGTGTCATACCAACTAAACCTTTTTTGTATGTTTTTGCCTCCTTTTAATGATTCTGTTTTAATTTACAGGAGCTTGCTGAATTGCTTTCTGAAGAAAAGCTGGCTGGTGTGCCTTTGCTGGTTTTTGCAAATAAACAAGACCTTTTCAATGCTGCACCTGCTAGTGAATTGGCTGATGGGTTGAATTTGCCTGCTATTAGAGATCGTTCTTGGCAAATCCAAGCATGCTCTGCTTTGACTGGAGAGGCATTAAAGGTAGGACTATATATATATATATTTTATTTTTATTTATATAGGGGAATTCATTCCTGGTTATTAGATATTTTCAGTTAGTGGTTTAGCTGGAGTTTTGATATTGCAATGAGGTGATTTGAAAGTTAATGAAGAATGAGAATCCAATTAAACAAATTTTACAATGTTTATATAATATATAAATGTTGTTATATTAAGTAAAATGTATAAATATTGCAAATATGTACTTATATATAAATATATAATTATATTATATACATGAAAATGTAATTATATAAGTATTTAATTATGTAATATAAAGGCAAGTATGGAAGCAATAATGTCCACTATTCTTAGGTGTGAGAGTATGAGGGAGTTTGATTGGTTTATGAAAAGGGTGTAAAGTTTAGATACTCTATTGGATGATTAATCCATACATATTTTCTAACAGAAAAGGTTAGAGTGGGTATAATAACAACGCTATGTAGTATCCTTCCAGTGACAGAGTCCTAATATGTTAATTTACATTTTACAAACTATTGAAGTATGACAATTGAAAATATAAATATAGACTATTTAAAGGAGACAAAAAATCTTACAAAATGTAACAATGTAAATTAATTACATAATATATTCTGTTACAAATCTTTTAGGAAAATGCACATGTGGAAATAAATTAAACTCTGAAAAGAGGGAATATTTAGAAGAAATGAACTATTCAATGTTAATGTAGAAAAACAACTTTAAATCAAGAAAAAATTTTAAATTATTTTGATTAAAAATAATATAAAAAATATTCTGACTGCAGAATATTTTTTAGCTATTTCAGACAAATAGAAACAGTGCAGCTTAAAATAATTTATAAAAATAAGAAATACAAAATTTTGGAACAATTTAATAACTAATAATATAAACCTTTCTTGTTATTAATACAAATTTATTGTATTTTATGAGTACAAAAATGGTGTTAATCACAGTTGACAAAACAATTTTATTTTTTTTTGAGGAATGGAAGTTAATTTATTATTTGAAATTGTGTATCTTTAGAGCAAAAATGTTTTGAAAATTTTTCTCATTTGCATCCAACACTTTTGATTCAAAATAATGTAAAATTATTAAAGCATAATTCAATTACTAGAGTAATTCTTAAAAAAAAACTAGTATATCCTAACAAATTAATTTATAATTTGTTTTTCGAAGGTCTGTTTAAAAAAACACTAATGATTCAAGATAATGTTAGATATAGCCATAAATACATCATAATGGTTTAATGGCAAGTCATAAAAAATTAATTTGTAATGTGTTATATGAAGAGCTTGTTAAAAGATGCACTGATTCAAGAGTGGTCTGCTCAGAACAGTGCTAATTACAGAATGCTCAGTTCTGCCATTAAAATATGTTTCAATCAATGGCATATTTTAAAAAAACACTAATGATTCAAGATAATGTTAGATATAGCCATAAATACATTATAATGGTTTAATGGCAATCATAAAAAATTAACATTTCATGTGTTATATGAAGAGCTTATTAGAAGATGCACTGATTCAAAAGTGGTCTGCTCAGAACAGTGCTAATAACAATGCTCAGTTCTGCCATTAAAATATGTTTCAATCAATGGCATATTTTATGGCAAGCCAAAAAAAATTAATTTACATTTTGTTAAATGAAGGACTAGTTAGAATAGGATGTAGTTTTTACTAGTAATACCAGGACATAGGTCTTTTTTTTTTTAAATTCAGTTTATTAGTTTATTGATTCATAAATTTTTTTCTTGATTTTTTTTTGTTTTTTTTTGGAGAAGAATATTTTAATTTCAAGTATTGTAAGATAGTGAGAAAGAAGAGAAGCTAAAATTTTATACCTTTGATGTATACTTATTGTAAAAGATTTTGTGTTTGCTCATGGGCATTTTTCACAATCATTTTCAAATTTTTCTCTCATTCTTTTATTATTTTTAGTGCAGCTTAATATAAATTTGTATTTTATTACAGGATGGATTAGATTGGGTGTGCAAGAATATAAAAAAGAAGTAAATTGTTACTACCTAATTTAATGATCAACTAGTCATCATCTACATTAATTCCATGGATGACGAAGGTTGCACAAATGTAGCTTTCACCAGAATCAACTCTGTGATAGACTGGTAGCTGTATCAATGCCGTCCGCACTCTGCAGCTTTGTGATCTGCACTATTTATCATTCTACATATTGGTATTTTTTTGTAACTTTCTACACTACTTGCTATATTATTTATGCCTTGCTCTTACTTTTTCACTTCTACATAAGATGTATTTTTGTAACAAAAAGTTATATCAGTGAAACTGTGTAAAATATCTAAATATTTTGGAAGGCAAGTATAAAAGTATGGTGTTAAACTGTAAAAAGTTTTCAAGCTTAAACTGAGTGTTATATTATGGTTTTGTTATTGACAGAGTGTTTCCAAAAAGCTCTTATAAGTAAAGTGAAATATTTAAGTTTATTTCATCATAAATAGTGAAATATGTCAAAATATTGTTTTCAATGCTTTTTGTTTATTTAAAAATATTCTTTTATCAAAATCTACCTTTCTTTGAAATCAATGAAAATTAGAATAATGGTTATAGAACTTTACAAAAGAGTTATGTGTTTTACTGTATATGTATAAGAGTTATACTTAAAGATATCTGAATTTAAAAAAAAAAATGAATAATTTTTATTGTATTATGCATAGTACAGCTTAGCTGCTGAACATAAAATGAGTTTATGAAGCTTGATTTTATTTATAAAATATCTTCAAGTGAAGAAATATTTTTAATTTTTGTTGCGTAATAACTAGTTTAAATTTAGGTTTATTAATAAGACTCATTTTTAAATTGTTAAACATAACATTACTTATTCGGGGAATATTGTTTTGAAATTTTTTTTCATTGCATAATTTTTTCTTAGCACAACAAAAGGGGAATCTTGGTTTTTGCTTGGAAAAACAACTGGTTAAAGAATTTCTTTTTGATAATGTTTGGTGGATAAAATCAACTACTTTAACAAAGTGGGAAATACTTTGAGAAAGGTTACTTTTATTCTCTCTTCCCAAACGAATTTTTGCACTCTATATAAAATGTGAAAATTTTTTAGACTTTTCATGTTTTGCTGCAAGAGCATTTTCCTAGCTATGAATGAGATATTTTAAATTGAGAGTATTTTATATCTAAATTCTTTAAATCAAACTATCTTCAATAACTGTGGATTAGTATAGAAATTATTTAAAAAAATTGTCAATAATTATATGCTCTGATTTAGGAAATGATTTAACAACTTTTTAATCCTGCAAATTTATGTATCTTAAATCAATATTAAATTATAAATATTATGACAGTAATCGCTGAATATGTGCAAGCGAAATGATAGTGTTACAAAAAATGATTTGAACGAAGTTATATTTGTTATTTCTTTACGTTATTATATTTTTGAATCTAATTTGTTAAATTTAAAAAGAAATTTTTTATTGCAAAACTATTTATGTAAAACTCTTTCATGAAATGATTGTTACAAAATTAATGTTATTACTTACACTGTATGTGTTACTAATGTATGTATACTTTTTTTAAGGAGGCATTCTAAAATGTGCAATTTGCAATGAATAAATAAATTTTAGATAATATAATAAATTTTAAGTTCTTGCAATCGATTTTAAATATGTGCAATTTGCACATATTTAAAAAGTTCAATAAAAAATATGAGGATAAAAATAATTTTTATAGTTTTAGAAGTTGTTTGCAAAATCAAATGCAAATAATATATTTATTGAACATTTATTTTTATTTTTTTTTCTGAAAAAAAATACATCGAAAAAAGAATTTATTAAATTTTTAAATTTAATTAACAAGATAAATAAATGCAATTTCAATTTTAGTTACTTAAATTAATTCTTTTATTCACTGTGATTTTAGTTTAAATTTTATATATTTTACATTTTTCTTCAAACATGTATTTTTAAGCATGTTTTAAAGAACAGTAGTTAATAAAACAGTTTTGAATTTTGCAATTAATTATAGATTTGTGTTGGCCACAAAAGTTAGGTTATTTTTATTAAATTTCCATCTATATTGTCTTACTTTTTCTAAATATGAAAGTGAAAGTTGACAAATGAATTCGTTTGTGAATAAGAAATTTTTTTTTGGAGTTTGACGAGTGAACAAGGTAAACTGGTTACTGCTGGCTGGCAGGTCTGTATGGATATATATTTATAGCTTTATTTATTTTTATTCAAGAGAAATATTTTACAATTTCTACAAGTCGACAAGCTTTGCATCTTTACTAGTTTACTAGTTTTTACTGGTATAGTCAATAATAATTTACTTCAAAAGGTGTGAAAGATATATGCTGTTCATATGCTGCCTAGCATACCTTTCTCTCCCTTTGAATTATATAAAATATGCACTCCTTGTGCATATGCTTATACTATCGCAGGTCGTGCAAATGCTGTGCTGTTCAATTCAGTTGGGTTATGAATTCCTATTGTTTAAATAATGTATACACATAACTTGGATATACTTTTTTATGATGGAGTATTTAGAATATACTTGGATTAGTTAGCAATTATTGTAATAATTTCTTCTTTTTTTTCTTTTTAAGTTACAATTTCTATTCATGATAGAAATTAAAAATTAGTATACTTCCCGGTAAGAAATATTAAAATAAGTTGGTCTTTTTATCCTCTCACTTATTAAAGTTGAGCATTATAGTTTTTAACTAATGTGAAAGTTTAATATTCTGTTATTTTATGCAAAATTAATAAAAAAAAAGTATTAGTTTATGTTTTTAGGATCCTTATGCTATTTTTTTTTATAAAATTAATAAAAAAGTACTATTTTATGTTTTTAAAGATCCAAATTGATTTATTTCATCCTTAAAACTAACTCTATATATTTATAATAGATCTGCATTTTTATGCACTTTGTTTGCCTTTTCTTCAAAACATTGTTTTATGTTGTAAATGTTGGGTTTTTACCTTCACATTAATGTTATACTACTTAATAATGCAATTTAAATATTTTAATTATGTTTTTATGTATAAAGCTGTGCTATTTTGTTTCATTCATCAATAAAATGTAAAATACACAATTTTTGTTTTTGTTTTTATAGCTAAAAACAAAGTTCTTGCATTTTAAATGACGTTGATGCAAATATTGATAAAGTATAATTGTACTATGTTATGCATGCATAACGCTAGCGTTTATTCAATTTTTGGACTAACAAGAAAGTAACAGAAAGGGCATTTAAGCTTGCAGTTCTTTCACAAAACTGAAAGGGTAACTTTTTTTTTATTCTTCACTTTTTGTAACACTTTTAAAATTTTGGTAAATTGGTGCTTATAACAATTGTATGCAACTTTGTTCAATAATACTGAAGAAAAAAACTCTCTGTCTTTGTTATGCAAGGCAGATATAAAATTTATTTTTCTGCATTGGTTTTCAATGCTCATTGTTCTATTGGGGGGGGGGGAGCTAAAGTCTGGAATATATGGTGTCAATGGCTAATTCTGAATATCCATGGAAAGTAGGAGCCCCTAAATACTAATTTCACTTTTTGCAAATTTCGCCTATCCCGTGACATTCTTAAGCAAATTAAAAATTCCTTACACAGAATTATAAAACTTATTTTTCCAATGCTAACTGCTTGCAAAAATAATTTTATATAAATATTTATTATTACTTTATTTAATAATACTTGAAAAATTTTAATAGTTATAAAATTTCAATAAAATCATATGTTTAAATTTTAATGCGCAAGAATTATTTGATTGATTTCTTGACTAAATTATTGCAACTATATCTTCCAGATTGCGGCTAAACCACATGTTTTGATAGTCGAAAATTAAAACGTGTAAAAAAAGATACGTTTATTCAGAGAAAGGACGTTTCTGTAGTCTGGCTTCTTAATTTATTAAATAGTTAGCACCAGTTAATAAAATTTTTAGATCAACCCTTTTGAACTATTTATCTTTTCGGGATTTTTTGAGGTCAACCTTTTGAAACAAGTGACTGGTACATGAAAATTTGATCATTAGAACACAAGTTCCTTAGGTGGGTGTCATTTTTTTTGTTGCTTATGTTGTTGTTTCTAATGCCACTTGCCAGTAGCCACCAAGCAAATTTAAGGCAGAGGGTGTGTTTCTTGTTTCTCAGTGGCATCATCTTTGGCCAAGAATACGACTTCAACCACACACATGTCATAGCCTGTTTATAGGGTGGACACATTCATACATCCACAGATTGAAGTTTTGACTTGCACCAGAGAACGATAATCAATCTTCAATTCAGAGCGCCCAAAGTACTGAATTTTTGCTTGTGCTATAGACAATGAAACATTAAAATGCCAGGCATACAATATTTGTAGTTATTAGAAATGCTTACGTAAACATTTTTTTAAGATTAAACGGACAAACTGCAAATTTTATTTACAATCAAATTTCAACTACAACTTAATTATTTTTAAATAAAAATGAGAAAAAAAGGTAAATTTGAATCGACTGTATACATTTTTTAAGACAATGTTTCATGGTTTTTATTCAAATTTTTATATATATGAAAATACAGGTTTCATGAGTAAAATACATACAAATATCCTTTCATAATTTTAAATATATATATGTACACAAAAATATGAAGATTTTATGAGAGTAATATCACATAGAATTCTTTTACAGCTACTGAATTTTCTTCCTGTTATTCTTCAAGGTTGCCATACTTCTCTATCTGAAACAAGAATATAATATTCTAATCTTGAAAAGAACATTAATTCTAATGGAAAAATCCGTAAAAGATACTTAACTTAATTAACGACTATGTTGTGCAAAAATTGTGAATACCAAGCAAAATTAAGAGTTCTTATATTTATACATAATAGTTTAAGAGAGTTACAATAAATGTGTAAGTGTCTGTGATTGGCTGAGATTCAAAATTTACTTAAAGGAAACTAATCAAAATTTTTACTGCAGAGTTAGCATAAATGATATATTTATTGTGTAGAATCTCTGAATTATAGACTTATTATCTTTTTTCTTGCTTTGAAATATGTTGCCGTAGTTTCTAATGGCACTTGCCAAATACCAGCAACCTGCTTGGTGAAACCAAACTAATTTAAGGCAGATGGTGCGTTTCTTGTTTTTGAGTGGCACTATCTATAGCCAAAAATACGACTTCAGCGACACATACACGTCACAGCCCATTTATAGGGCAGACCCATATCCTCAGATCGTAATTTTGTCCTGAATCAGAGAGCGATCAATCTCCAATTCAGTACCCCCAGAGGTATTGATTTGTAATGGGACCATGGAGGACTTTGTGACCCGGCAGATTTAACATGTACCAGTCACCATTTACTACACGGGGAGTCTTCGGTCTGCGGTGATCGAACTCATGACCTCTTTAACATGGGCCCGACGCTCTACCAGCAGACTATCGCGGCCTCACTTCTAAATATAATTTTAACTATTCAAAATGAGCCGCGATGGCTCAGGGGATAGAGCATTCATCTTCCAATGAGGTGAACCGAGTTCGAATCCCAGCGATGGCTGGTGCGATGAAATCCGCATCCGGCTTGCACCGACTACAGTGCTGAGGTGAAATATCCTAAGCTTAGCTTAGCATCTATATGTTTTCTAATGCTAAAGATGCTAGTACTAGCAAAATAAGGGTTCATACAAACATTTATTAAAGCGGTGGTCGTAATATATTTTGTGATGCAGAGAATTCAACGCGATCATTGCAGTGTTTTTTATTGCAAAAAGAAAAGAAAAAAAGACACTGAATGGAAAATATTAAATATCTATACTCATATGAAAGTTTAAATACTTAAATGTGTAATTCCGAATGTGTCGATAGTAATAATATTGTATTTAAAATACCGAGGTTTTAAAAATGATGTTGAAATTGCCGGGCCGAAAGTAAGACAATTAATTGTAACTGCCGAGAAAATAATTAGAAAATAACGTTGATTTAGGACGCATTGTCGCGAATTGAACGCGTCAAAAAGTAATTGGTCAAATTTGAAATTCTTGTGTCGCAATAACATCATATTAGAAATATTGTTATAAGAAAAACCATGTACGTGAAAAAGACCGTAAAATTGGAACACAACTGCCGAGAAAATGGTCGAAAAATGACGGCGATGCAATAGTCGCGAATAAAACACGTCAAAAGTCGGTTACTTAAATTTGAAATTTGGGTGTCGGAAGTATCGTCGTAAAAAACTGAAATTTAAAAAGCCACTTTGTAACGGCCTAAAAATCGATAACTCCCAAAAAAACTATCGAAAAAATTATTACTTAATTTTGGAATTCGCGTATCGTAATAATTTTGTATGAAAATTTCGTCTTTCTAAAAATCATCTGAAAAAAGATGGAAAAACGATCGATAATCCAGACCATCGGAAATTATTAGCAAGTTTTGTTATCGTCTTTTTATTAAACTAGCATTTCTCTTTTTTTAACTGGCATCACGACCTCTCTGTGGGTAACATCTTTACACAGTATCAAAGTATTACTTAGAAATTTTCATGCAGAATATGAAAAACCCTATTCTGTCTAACTATATTTTTTAACATACTAACAAAATTCAATATTTTATATTAGAAGATTTTATGTGAAACTAAGAATATTTTAGTCATCATACTCATATTAGAAGCCACATTGCTATATTGCTACATGCACATTTATTTAATTTTATTGATTTTAATACACATTTATTATGCTGATTCCGAGAAATAACTGAAGGGAAAATATTTTGAGTGCTGCTAATTTATCAGTGCAAACTGTATTAAGTGATATTTTTGAGATTTGCTTTTCATTTAGCATAAACGAAAGAACATCAGTACTTTAAATACAAGAACAATTATGTATTTGAACGAAGTATGAAGATAGACAGTGGTACATATCATATTAATATATTTTTGGGAGTACAAATTAGTTCGGTCAGTTTTTAAAAGAAGGCTCTGCTCTTATGGATGTTGTATAGTGACAGCTGGTTTCGGTGGTTTCAGAGAGGTTAAATATCTGTCAATAATATTAAGTTTATATCTCTTAGAGTTTCATACAAAAACCCTGTTTTTTATTTTGTTGAATATGTCAAATTTTGTGGTAACGAAGCACCATTTGCGGAAGGTTTTATGTTTCTCCTTTAATTGGAAGAAAAGTGCAGCTGAAGCGCATCGAATGCTTATGGTGACAATGCTCCAAATGATAAATCATATAGGGAATGGTTTCGACGTTTCAAGAATGGCGAATGAAGAATGGTGAATAGTGCTGTGTACTATGAGCTGCTATAACCTGGTGATTCCAGTACGGGTGATCGGTATAGGCTACAATTGATTCGTTTGAGCCATGCATTACGAGAAAAACGGCCGGAATACGAGCAAAGACATGATAAAGTTATTCTTCTGCATAATAACTGTCAGCCTGATGTCTCAAAAGTCGTAAAAATTATTTGGAAACGCTCAAGTGGGATATTTTACGGCACCCGCTTTATTCTCTGAACATTGCTCCTTCTGATTACTGATTGTTCCGACGGATGCTGCACGATTTGGCAGGTCATTAGTTCACTTCTTTCGCAGAAATCGAAAATTGGCTCCTAACTTGGATCGCCTCAATGGACGAGTCTTTTTTTTAAAGATGGAATGTGAAAATTGCCTGAGAGGTGGGAAAAAGTAGTAGCCAGCGAAGGAAAATACTTTGATTAATTTGTTCATTCATTTTGTTCTGAAATAAATACATTTTTGACCAAAAAAAAACCGAACTAAATAGTACTCCCAATATTTTTCCATTTTTATTGGTTTGGACGAAAGTGATCGATAGGATTTTATATAAATATTAAAAATACTAGGCACAATTTAAAAGTAATCTTTATACTCACTTTTACAAATACACGTAGGGCATCGCTGACCGATTGGAATTGATATCTTGCAAGAAGAATTGGCACAGAGGGGAGTGGGGCAGCCTTCAGGAACTAAATGTGAAAATCGAAATTAAAGCGAATTAATAATTTTCCATGCAAGCATCTGTGCTTTGACGCAGATGGGGCACCCATATTTCTTTTAAATTTTATATATATTTTTTTCTGATGCTCTAATTATAAGTTAAAATACACTCACGGACAAAAAAATTAGCGTACCAAGAAGGAGTCGTCGAAATGAAACGAAATTTTACATACGTAATGACTACTTTGATGTAAGTAAATGATTAGAAAAAAAAAAAAAACGATCTTCGATTTTCTAATCATTAACTTATATCAAAGTAGTCATTACGTATGTAAAATTTCGTTTCATTTTGACGACTCCTTCTTGGTACGCTAATTTTTTTGTCCATGAGTGTATATTATGGTATTTTTTTAACAATGAAAAGTCTAATAGTTACTAAAAATATTCTCCTAGATGATCGGAGTTATATTTGTACTAAAATCTAAGAAAAGTAGTTTTAAATTTTTTTCTTCACAATTTATATTTAAAAATGTATCAATAATTTATTTTGTAACTTAAAGAAATTTCAATGATGAATAACTGTTTCTCTTAGAGCTAAATATCTACAAATAAGAGCAAATTTGAAAAATCAGTGTTTGAAAGTGAGCCGTGTTAGGAATATTTTATCTTTAAGGGAGAAAAAGACACCGGTGTTTTATGTTGTATTTCGTTACCATAAAATACTAAATATAATATTTTTAATTATTTTAACCTAAATTAATACGAAACAGGGAAAAAAAAGCTATGAAATATATGTTTAATAAAAATTCTGCCTCAAAGGGTTAAATTTTGCAAGCTTTTTCCTGCACAGCATGAATGATTCTAACATAACAGAAACTGTATTAAATTTTATACAGTTAAAACATTACAAGAATGTTTATTTTTGGTTATATAATACGTTAAATGTCCGCTTTACTACAATCATGGTTAAAACCTTACATTTACGTTTCTGAAATAAAAAAGCATTTGCAGAAACATTTTTTCCCCAATGCCCACCCGACTGACACTTGTCATTCAGGTATTAGAAGAGCATATTTGTGGGTCACTCTTTCAGGGACACCATATTAGGTGGGTCAACGTTGCTTCCACAGTAAGGACAGATACAGGCCAAATTATTAGACGCACTGTAAGATTCCATGTAAAATCTTAATTATCAAATGATACTCTGCAACTTTATTGTTTTTATGCGACAGAAACCGGTTTACACTTGTTTGTGTATAATTTGGTTAACATTGTAATGTAATAATTTAAAAGTAAATACAAATGGAAAGTATATGAAAAAATCTCCTCTATAAAAACCCATTACATTTATGTTTAAATATAAGAGTACTGTATATAAACTCGTGCAAAACATACAATTATTAAAACACTAAAGTGCATCTAATAATTTGGTCTAATTATAATATACTAATATAATACCTGATATAATAAATATTCTATATTTATATAATATATCGTCTAATTTATCCAATTGTCGAATTTATATTATATATCGTTTAATTTCATTAATTTATACACGAACATAAACAAGTACAAACCGGTTTCAGTTGTGTAAAAACAATAAAGCTGCATAGTATCACCTGATAATTAAGATCCTACTTAGAATCTTATAGTGCGTCTAATAAGAGAAAGAGCATCCATGCCTTCTCTGGGATTCGGACCCAGACCCTTTCTGATGTGAGGTCAGCTCCATGATCACTACATGGCGTTTGCAGAAACATTACTTTTACAACTATCGAAATAGCGCAGGGAAATAGCGTATAGTACTTGTGAAACATTAATGAAAAGTTAGTAAGTTTCCATTTTTTTCTACGAAAATGTAAAGAAATTAATTAGTTAAAAATGTTTTGATTTAGAAAAAGGGTTAAATTCAAATACGATTGAGGTTGTAAATATTCATCATTCGATTGATCCCATTACACCAGTCTACAATAGTCTTAACCAATTACTGACTATAATTTAGAAAAATAATTAATTCAAATACGATTGAGGTTTTAAGTGAGGATAGTATTATTGTCTTACCAATCACAGACTCAGAGCTGATTAGGTCTTCTTCTGAGTTGTCACTATCTTCCAGATTTTTTCTGTTTAAACTAGAAAATTTCAATTCGTCAAAGCCTTCGTCGTTGTCTTCGTATATTTCTCGGTTTGATTCTGGCTCTTCCTCCTCGAAGAACTGCTGCTGCGAGTTCTGCGCAATTTGATTGGATTCAATGCTACCTTGCTGTTGCAAAGGAATGTGTTGTCCGATTACTGTAAAGGAAAAACGTTAAAATAACTTAGTTAAAAAATGAGTATTTGGTTAAATACACTTAATTTTTGGAATGTATTCGAATCGGAAAAAAGAAAAGAAAATCTAATTCAAAATTATCAATTATTCCAAAATTGCCATGGCATGAATTCATCAATAAAATTGTTCATTCAAACACTTTTACAGCACTTAATCTCAAATCCCATCTTGTTTATACTTGAACATAAAAGAGATCGGTGTTGTTGACTGCATTGGTTGCATCGGTACTGTTTATCTTGATGATTTCCTTAACTATAATCGCCAATAGCCCATTAATGCAGCATTAACAATCAAATCAAACTAAAGATTTGGTTCACCAATAATCCGTTAATGCAACGTTAACAATCAAATCAAACTAAAACTTTGTATCTCGATGATTTCCAAAACTATGTTCGCCAATAGCCCATTAATGCAGCATTAACAATCAAATCAAACTAAAGCCTTGAATTACCAATAACCCATTAATGCAGCGTCAACAATCAAATCAAACTAAAGCTTTGTATCGCCAATAGTCCATTAATGCAACTATAATATTTAAATCAAACTGAAGCTTTGGAATGCAAATAACCTATTAATAAGTTTAATATTCCAATTTTTATTTATTTATTTACTTATTTTATTGAGTTATGCTATCCGTATTGTTAGAGCTACGTAACTGAACAGCTGTCAAGTGAATAAAAAACTTGTTTAACAAAAAATAAATGAAATTGAACAGATTCCGCAGCTAATTAAAATAAAATGAAAAGATTACGGTTCTCAACCACAGATCATGTAACTGTGAACTTTTTTATTAATTAATTTATAATCTGGTGGGCTCATTAACTGACTGATCCATTCAGAAATAGGGTAATTCATCACAAAATAAAAATAACTTTAGGTACGGCGACGTCTCTACAAATCGGTGAAAGTTTGTGGCCAGTCTGTGTCCTATTCCAATTGGGTACTTGCAACTCGAGAAGAAGAATGCCGCTGAAATCACATGGTCGTGTGCCTAATCACGCGGTTGTGCATGGCGTGTTAACTTTACATCAATTAGGCTTGATTTACTTTCACGATAAATCAGTTTTTGAATCAGATGTTATTGTATAGCTGCAAGCGACGTGAAGCGTGTGTGTCAAACCTGGTTAGCTGTTGAATCATGGCAATAACGAATACTACGATTTACTCGTCTGTATTACGTCTCTCACGGGTATCCAATTATAATAAAAGTGCGAAGTGAAATATGATTATATCTCAAATTAATTACCTGCCCTCTTTTTTCTATGGGGTGCTAATTCACTGTCTTCCTCTTCACTGGCGTTAAGGGAGGTTCGAGGAAATATTTCTATGTTTACATGCTCCGGTTGCTCTTTAAAAGATAATTCTTCTTTATCCTCAAGTATTTCTCGATCTAAAAAAGTGGGAGAGACAGTTATTCAGATTATGCAATTACTAATGATCTCACAGAAAATGATTATTTTATTAACAGGATAAGATATTTTATACTATACATTGTGTGAGTCCACAGAGGTTCAAATTCATCCTGTTAACTTCCGAACAGCTTCGAAACAGTTATAAAAAAGAGGCGTGTAAAAATAGCCATGAGTTACGAGATGTAATAGCCACTTGCGGGCAAACTACAAGATATGTGTTTCTTTTTCACAAGTCTTAAGCGAAGTTTGATATCTTGTTCCCTATTTTGTAGTGCTTTCGAGGTAGAAACTTCAACTCTTCAGTTATCCACCAGTCGTCGTTGTAGAGGCGTCGTTATTCTACATCACGCAGTTACTTTACTATACCTAGACACCACTTTTATAACTCTATCTGAAGCCGTTCAAACGTTGAGGTGGTGAATACCGACTTTCAAGCGGGGACACTGAATAAAAATCTTAATTTTTTCTCAACGAATTTTTGACCTAATTTTTACATATTAAGATCCAATCTTTATGAGGTTTTAGTACATCTTTCATACGATGAATGAAACCTAAACATGTACTTTTTTATGAACAACTTTTAATAGTCGCCAATTTATTCAATATCAGTCGAAAAATTTAGCTCACTCTTGTTATTTTTTTACTTTTCTAGAACATTTGCAATATCCTCAATACAAATTAAAATATATTTGCCCCCATTGATTAAATCCCTTTATTAACTAATAATTTCACGTAAAAAAGGTATTTCTTGACAATTATTTACAGCTCTATTAATTTTAAAAAAAAAGATTAGCAAATATATATTTCTATTAACTTCAAAAGCGTCTATCTAAGTTTCAAAAGATTGAATTTGAATGAAACTTATAATTTGAGAAAAAGAAATTGAAAGATTAGACTTTTTTAATTTCTAATGATCGATTTTGCTCATTATTTAAAATTTTGTAGTTAAAAAAGATTTCATTTTTTTGCTTAGAAATTTACATTAATGAACTTCCTTTTTTTTCCAATTTAATAAAAACAAAAATTCGCCTTTTAAAAAATGTTCCGCTTCTTAAATTTTCAAAAAAAANAAAAAAAAAAAAAAAAAAAAAAAAAAAAAAAAAAAAAAAAAAAAAAAAAAAAAATTACATTCAGGCTGTTTAAAATCATACATCGTGATTTAAACTTACACATCGTGCTCTGTATTCACGGGATTTTAAATTACATACCGCGATTTCTATTTACGTGATTTAAAAATCACATATCGAGATTCGTATTCACACAATTAAAAAAAAAAAGATAAACACGCATCTATATTTTTTACTAAAACGTTGCTTTAGACACTACATCTGCTTCTTTTATGCACTATTCTTTCTTGCTGAAATTTCAAAAATCAATTATTATTATTAAGATAAATAGTAAAAAATAATAAGTAATTATAAAAAGTTCAGATATTTTAAACGATTATTTAAATGGCAAACGGAAAGCGTTTTTAGACCTTGTAACTTGTTTCTTTTACAGCCAAGCTACAAATCATGATAACGGTTTTTTAAAAAAATATTTTGATGATAAATCGTAGAATAGGACGATGTTTTACGATTAACATTTTGATAACTACACCTCTGTAATGATAAATATAAAATGCCACAATATTGCGACTATTATTGATAACAATAGACTATAATATTGAACATTAATATTGAACATGAACATTAATAATATTGAACATTATAATATTGAACATTATTAGAAGCAAAATTTATCGAATGCTATAATATCGCAAGATAATGATAATTCTCAATTACTATATTATCGTGACAAGTGTAGAATTCGAAAAATACCGCCTTATTTCGGGAAACATCGGTATTTCCGCGATATCCTCTTTCTACTATTCATTTACAGAGTCAGTCATAAAAGTTAGTATGCATGGATTTACTAATACTTAACACAAATTATTTTTCTTCCTTAAATAAATCGTTTATTTTTTTAATAAATTATCTTAATAAAAAATCAAAACTTTGTAGTGCTTTAGTAAATAAAGATATCATTTTTAATGTATTCTTAGTATACAAATAAATAAAGTGTTTAAGTTTTACTTGTGGGGAAAAAACAAAAATTTCGCATTAATCTCGTTCGGATATTTTTTTTCTATTATCATTAGGACACATTTTAATTATATTTAAAGTAAACAATAGAATAATATTTTAAATGGTGAAGGATACCTTTTTCAAAAATATCGATATCTTTAACGTCTTCAAATTCGGAATGTTCTCCTTCATCGTAATCCAAATTGTCTACAAATGTTTCGATCGTTTCTATAAATTTTTCCGATTTATTGTTGGAAGGATCAGATTCAATGGGTATCAAAACTTCTGCCTCAAAATTTTCATCCTCACTTTCAAGTATTTCTTCTGTGCTCGATGAACTATTTTTTTCCGCGCCTTCCATCTGTATCTCTTCGGTTGTCTCAAATACATTTTTTTCGTGTGAAATAGTCTCTGCAAAAAATATATCTTAATCAAAATTATATAAGGTTAAAGTACATCGATTTGTTAATAATTAATACACAGGGTATTCCGTAGTTTTCACCCTTACTGCATATTGTTAAAATCCACATTGAAAATCAATTCAAATAGGTTTGCATATTAAGGATTGGATTGAGCCATAATGGTTTATGGGACTTGATGTGTATCTTGGGGCCCTCTTATACGAAATTAGATAAAATTTATCTATATTCTGAGATATTGAAACTCTTCATGAAATTCAATTCCAGTTAAGTATGTTTTGCAGATATTCAAAAAGAAATTGTTTTGTTGAAATTTTTATTTTTTACAAAAGAAAAAAGAAATAAATAAAATATAAAATACAATCAAGCATCTATATCAACAAAAACATCATGTGCAAAATTATAAATGTTCAGTAGTTGTAGGAACTATGAAACATACAAAATTTAAAAATAGAAAGAATAGAAACAAAACTGAATTTTCCGTTCTTACTATACTTTTGATATTTTTGCCAATCAAACAACCCCATTAAATTTTATATGTTTTGTAGATGGCTACAGAAAATTAGTAAAATAAAGTGCATGCAGTTTGAAGTAAAAGAAGATAAAATTAGGTTTAGGGTCCCACAAGTTTAAAAAATGCATCAGGACCCTTAGGAAAATTTGCCATAGGTTTGCCATAAAAAAATGTCATAGGATATTCCTATGGGGTTTTGCCTATGGTAAAATTTTGCCATACACTTTTGCCATATACGTATGGCAAAATTTTGTCATACATGTATGGCAAAAGTGTATGGCAAAATTTTGCCTTAGGCAAAACCCCATAGGAATATCCTACGGCATTTTTTTTATATGGCAAATTTTTGCCATACATGTATGGCAAAATTTTGCCATAGGCAAAACCCCATAGGAATATCCTATGGCATTTTTTTTATATGGCAAATTTTTGCCATACATGTATGGCAAAATTTTGCCATAGGCAAAACCCCATAGGAATATCCTATGGCATTTTTTTGTATGGTAAAATTTTGCCATACATGTATGGCAAAATTTTGCCATAGGCAAAACCCCATAGGAACATCCTATGGCATTTTTATATGGTAAAATTTAGTCATACATGTATGGCAAATTTTGCCATAGGCAAAACCCCATAAGAATATCCTATGTCATTTTTTTATATGGCAAATTTTTGCCATAAAACTAAGATGTGCTACAGTTTATGAAGAAATATTTTTCCATAGGNAACACAAATTATTTTTCTTCCTTAAATAAATCGTTTATTTTTTAATAAATTATCTTAATAAGAAATCAAAACTTTGTAGTGCTTTAGTAAATAAAGATATCATTTTTAACGTATTCTTAGTATACAAATAAATAAAGTGTTTAAGTTTTACTTGTGGGAAAAAAACAAAAATCTCGCATTAATCTCGTTCGGATATTTTTTTTCTATTATCATTAGGACACATTTTAATTATATTTAAAGTAAACAATAGAATAATATTTTAAATGGTGAAGGATACCTTTTTCAAAAATATCGATATCTTTAACGTCTTCAAATTCGGAATGTTCTCCTTCATCGTAATCCAAATTGTCTACAAATGTTTCGATCGTTTCTATAAATTTTTCCGATTTATTGTTGGAAGGATCAGATTCAATGGGTATCAAAACTTCTGCCTCAAAATTTTCATCCTCACTTTCAAGTATTTCTTCTGTGCTCGATGAACTATTTTTTTCCGCGCCTTCCATCTGTATCTCTTCGGTTGTCTCAAATACATTTTTTTCGTGTGAAATAGTCTCTGCAAAAAATATATCTTAATCAAAATTATATAAGGTTAAAGTACATCGATTTGTTAATAATTAATACACAGGGTATTCCGTAGTTTTCACCCTTACTGCATATTGTTAAAATCCACATTGAAAATCAATTCAAATAGGTTTGCATATTAAGGATTGGATTGAGCCATAATGGTTTATGGGACTTGATGTGTATCTTGGGGCCCTCTTATACGAAATTAGATAAAATTTATCTATATTCTGAGATATTGAAACTCTTCATGAAATTCAATTCCAGTTAAGTATGTTTTGCAGATATTCAAAAAGAAATTGTTTTGTTGAAATTTTTATTTTTTACAAAAGAAAAAAGAAATAAATAAAATATAAAATACAATCAAGCATCTATATCAACAAAAACATCATGTGTAAAATTATAAATATTCAGTAGTTGTAAGAACTATGAAACATACAAAATTTAAAAATAGAAAGAATAGAAACAAAACCGAATTTTCCGTTCTTACTATACTACTTTTTATATTTTTGCCAATCAAACAACCCCATTAAATTTTATATGTTTTGTAGATGGTTACAGAAAATTAGTAAAATAAAGTGCATGTAGTTTGAAGTAAAATAAGATAAAATTAGGTTTAGGGTCCCACAAGTTTAAAAAATGCATCAGGAGTATTAAAAATAATTATTTTTCTGTTTTCTAAAATTTGCAATAAAAATGCGCAATTCATTTTTAATGATTCTAAAGAAAGATTGTAAAACAATACGTTTGTATATATTAAATTTTTTTTTAGGAAGCCTTAAAATTAATTATACCTTCAAAAACTTTAAAGGTCCCTTGTGGGGCACTAAAAATATTTGGTACCTGAGTCTACAGCCCCAGTAATTTCTCTCTTAATCTGGCTCTGGGGATCTCGAAATAATATGTAAGTGAAGAAGGAACAAAAACGATATCGAAATCTATCCAATCTTTAAAGAGAATGGCAATGTTAAAAACATCAAAACCAGCCTGATAAAATATGGAGGTGTTTTTAATTATCCCTTTTAAACTCCTCCCTGTTTCTTCCGGCAGACAGACGTATTTTGAGGATAGCTTTCCTCAGTAGTAATTCGACAGATTTTTGTAGTGTTTTCAATATCTTTCCAACTTAAATATTAATCCGCTATCTTTAATATGCATATTTTCTATACTTAATTTTTTGAAAGGTTCTGAAATCGCATATTAAGGGTGATACTCCGGTAATCAAATAAATTAAAAATGTTCCAGTTATTTATTAACAATAAATTAATACTTAACAAAAAAAAGATACAAACCATTACAGACGCATGTAGGACAAGTATGTCCATCAGGAATTTTAATGACACAAGTAGCATCGGCACACTGTGGGGTTGGACATTCAGCTAAATATAAAAATACATACAGTTAAAAGAAATTTAACTGTATGTAATAATTGCAGTAGTAATGATTGAAGTAGAATAACGAAAAAGGCTCGCATAAAATCATTTCATTATTTAAAATTAAATAAACTCCGAATGAACTCATTCTATCATGTTTAATAAAAATTCTCCAACTTGTATATGAAACGGGAAATCACGTAAGAACGCATTTAAATATACCAAAAATAGTTTTTGCGACACTTTATGGTGAAATTTTTTTCTAATTTTGGAGCAAATTAAAGAGTAATTAATGAGTTCTAACAATTTATTTTCCATAGCTGAAAATACTTTTGAAATTAAATATTTAAATACATTGTGAGATTTAGTGGAATTTTTTCAATTCAAATCTTTTAAAAAAGGGGGACATCATTTTGAACAAAATTAGTTTTATTTGTTAACTTCTTTAAAACTACTTTTCCGAAATTTTATTTTTTGGAGGGGAGTTAAAGTGACATATGCAAAGTGCTGCAAAGATGCTGAATATTCTAATACTTCTTACTTAAACGCTTTTTTAGGATAAAATATTTTTCAACTTCGTTCCATTGTTACCTTAAAAACTATTTANGAAACAAAAAGATAATACAAACCACAGACGCATGTAGGGCACGTATGTCCCTCAGGTATTTCGACGACACAAGAAGCATCAGCACATTGTGGTGTCGGACATCCATCTGAATTAAAAGGGTAAATTATAGTGGGATAAAGCACATGCACATGAATTCATTTCATTAATTAAAATTAAATAGCCTCCGAATAATTTTATGTGTAAATATGTTATTATATTTTTTAAAAAAATCTGTCCAACTTATATATTTAATTAGACATTAAATATACAGCAGATATATGTTTGCAGATACTGCACTTACAAATATGCCGCATATCTAAATATTCTAGCTTTTTTAGAGGTATCCAAACCAAGGGCTGAACTATATAAATCAATCTATTGTTGTTGTAAATTCTGCTTGTTGTGGTCAGACGATTGGAATATTTACTGTCATCTTGCGCATACTTTTAATTTGAGCATTTTAGTAGTTTCAAAGTGATCAGAATTTCGATTAACGATAAAATCCTTTTGCTAATAATATTACGATGCATTCTGCTTATTATGGTCAGAAAGAGATTGAAGGTCTCATTGTCATCTGGTTCAAAGCTCTGCTAAAAATTTGAGTTCTGATCAAAGAGTGTACTCAACTTCAAAATGAATATCTTACCGTCAAAGACATGAAAGTGAGTTACTAAATAGGTTTTAAAATAATAAAATGGAACATAACTTTTATAATACGAATGAATAGCAGGACGTTTCTTAGAAATATTCCGAACACTAGTTCATAAGTTTCTAATCATGACAAACCCCTTATCTGAAGTTTCTACACAATATGTTTAGTTCAGTTCTGCACTGCTTATGATTCTTAATGCAATACACATGCATACGTTCTTTTAGGAATGTCTGTTTTATTTTTATTTTATAACCGTCGTTGAACAGCCGACCCAAATTTTTTGGGTTTACGACTACTAATGTTCAACTCCGTAGCCTTGTAATTTTGCACCCAATCCGGAAGACAAGGGAACTCCTGTATCAAGTATTGTGAGAAATTTGCCTTCGTGGAACTCTTTCTTCTGAAACTAACCCGCATTTCCATTACATGGAGAGAGAAGCCACAAAAACCTCCCACGGTTAGCCTGACGGCAAGGACACTATAACCATGATCCATTTACTATTGAAAATATTTTATGTCAGCACAATGGTCGGTGCAAGCCGATTGCGGAGTTCGTATCGACCAGCCATAGCTGAGATTCGAACCCGGTTCACCTCATTGGAAGGCGAATACTTTATCCCCTGAGTCATCTTGGCTCATTGAATGTTTATGACATTAGTAAAGCTGAAGAAAAGGTAATATGGATTCAGGTCAGGGGATATAGGTGGCAATGTGCAACAATGTAGATCATCGTCGCTTAAAGCATTTGTAACTGAAAAAAACTTATTGACACTTTTTACGTAAGAATTTGCAGGCGTATTAATATTAATTTGAAATTATAACAAGAAAAAAACACTCAATAACATTTATGCCAAACATGGAATAGATATTTAAATATTAATTTTACACTATTTAAATACCTTTTCACAGACTGAAAAAAATGAATTTATAGAGCTTAAACCACAATAACACTTACTTTCAATCGAATTAGATTCATTGGTTCCAAACACATCATTTGAGGAACAATCATCATAGGAAGGACAACAATAATTAGAAGAATAATATGCTTGGCAGTTTTTGGATTTGGGTGATGGTGGGCAAGATTCGTGCACGCAAGTAAAATCTGGTGGAACTAAACAGGTGCATTTGATGCAAGGATTTTTCATTGGCAGTTCCTTTCCAATTTCAAGCATTTTGTCTCCAAACATGCATGTATCTCCTGGAAAAAAAAGAGTCTTATTTATCGCAATAGTTTAACTCGGCTTATAAAAATTATTTTCATGGTTAATCGGAAAAACGACGAGAGAAATGACAATGGATACTCTCAACTCGAGAAGAAGACCGCTAATACACAACCACCAGTATTATGACCTCAGCGTGCGATGGTTTTTATAAACAAGATGGCATGTTAACGTTTTAGCTTGTTTTACTAATTTTGATGATTCCAGGGGATGACCTCAAATAAGTTAATTAATTCAGACGATATTTTAAGTTTTGAAATAAGACCCAAAAACTTACCTTCTCTGAATAAACATGTCCTTTTTTTTCTGGCGAATTCGAAATTCTCACCCCCAAAATATAGGGGGTAGCCGCAATCTGATATATAGTAATAATAATTTGGTCAGGAGAGCTGTCCAAAGTTTGGACCCCTTCATGTTAATTTTACTTTTTACGTATTTCACCAAATCTTGGAAATTTTTTTAAGCGAATTAAGAAATTTTTGCTCGCAACACAATTATAAACTTCGTTTACCCAAAGATAATTCCGTGCAAAATAAAAAGTTTAGAGATATTTTATTATTTTTTAATTATTTTATTTCAATATAGTAAACAAAATTTTAAATTATAAGGTATAAATTTTTTTAATAATTTTAAAGAATGCAATTTCGCCTGATGAAATACAAACGTTGAGAAGATTGGTCGAACAGGCCTGAGAAATCGAATTTTAAGAAATATTGTATTTTTTAAAATGTGATTTCTCAGGAACTATTCAACCGATTTCGCTCTTCTGTATTATGTTATGCAAAATTAAATTTTTTAAAATGGTATAAAAAATTTTATACTTTACAATTCAAAATTTTCTGAAATAATAAAATAAAATAATAAAGAAATATATAATGCTTAATAAAAGTTAGTTTTTGCATGGAATAGGGTATACGAATTTTGTAGTTGTTCCCAAAAATTTTATTTGCTCTAGAACATGAGGAAGGTTCAGTGTCTAAACACCAAATCCTATGTATATCCTAAAATACTTCGTGATTCGACACTGAGGTAGGTTCAGTGTCCTCAGGTTTTAAACACCAAATCCTAGATAGATCCTAAAATATTTTGTGTTAAGACACCGAGGAAGGATTGTTCAGAGAACCGAAATTATAGTATGGTCATTTCTGTTCTTTATTTATGTATTATTCAAGTTGTTTTTCACTTTTAACATTCTTCAGTCGGACTTCTATTTAACGAAGACGCTAAATCCCGATAAAAAGTTCCCTACATGGAAAATTCGTTAAATAGAAAATAACCATTTGAAGTACTTAAACAACACAAAACAAGTTTTAAATTCATAAACACTAGACATAATTAAAATAGCGGTTGATACACCTTTATCTTGTAAATTACTATCTACTATCGAATTGGTTCAAATGATTTTAACATTTTATCATATGAAGGTTTGGTGATTTCTTCATCATTTCTGTCTTCATCTTCCTCAGAATTTATTGCCGTATTGTTTTTATTTTTCACACTGTCCGAAATGTCCGATTCAGTTTATGTTTCTGTAGTTGCAGTTTCAGACTCCATGAAAAGAAAATCATTAATCAGTACGTCATCGTTAATTTCGTGGTTCTCTTTTAGCTGTACCGACATTTTTTTAAGTTCTTCTAAAGGAATATTATCCAGCTTTAGCAAAACTGTTACGAAGACTACGATTTGTATCATCATAGTTCCATGCTTTAGAAATTTATGATGTTATGCTTTCTCGGAAATTGATTTTTGGCATGGATTCTTGTATGAAAGGCAAACAAAAAGGGAAAGGGATTCTACTGCTTTCTCTGAAAGTTAAGCGGCTGCGAAAATCAATTCAAGGTCATTTCACCCATGAAATGTGTTAACAAGTTTGAAATGTTATGAAATAATTTGAGAAATCGGAAAAGTGGATCTCAAGGAAAGTTCTTTCTCTCTCTTCGTATGCCTGTTATAGCAGAGGGGTGCGATATTGTTCTTGTTTCTCCAGTGGCGCCATCCATGGCCAAGAATTCGACTTCTGCCACAACATACGTCCCACCCGTTTATAGGACGGACCTATTCATACATCCATTCATTCATCCACAGATCGTAATTTTGGCCTGAATCAGAGAAAACTTCCTTAAATAGAAAATTCACTTCGCTATTAGGAAGTTATTTTACGAAGGAATTTCCCAAATGTTTTAGGTTCCTCGGAAAAAAATCGCAAAATGGAAGTTAGTTAAATAGAAGTCCGATTGTATTTATATAATCATATTTTGGTGATTCTGTCATATTCAACTGTATAGAGGAATTGTATAAATTCATAATATTCAGAGAGACAGTGATAAGATAGGCCGTGAAACATTTAAATATCGAAATTACTATTGATTGTTTTGACAATTAAGTTTTATATACAGTGTTAAAATGACATAATTTATTTATATAAATTGTAACATCATTATAATAATATTAATTTTTCCACATCATTGCATTTTATTACATTTTTATTAAATTAAATAATATTCGTAGAACATTTTTAAATGATATGATTAAACAGTGCTGTTTTTTTTAATTGTATTCTAATTACTTTTAAACGAAGTTCATAATTTTAAAGAAATTAAAAACACGCAGTACAATTTTCATTCCAAATAAGGACTAAGAAGAAGCGTTTATCAAATTTATTATGATAAAAATTTATTGTAATGAAATTATGATAAAATTTTCTGCTACTTAAGAAAATATGAACAGATTTAAAAATACTCTCAGAGAAAATTAAAAACTTATCAATAATTAAAGAATAATATTATCAAAAAGAGTCTTTTTGGGTGAAATTATTTTCTATTAGAATTTTATTTCTATTAATACATAAACATATTATAGTATGTAGTGAAATATTTAAAGTAATAATTACTTTAAATAAATTTAAATTGAATAAAAAATTTTCATAAAAATACACAAAAGTTACATAATATTGTTTATTATCTTACCGTTGACATCAGAATTTTCAGCTGTAAAAGATTCTAGAGAAATACCATCGTTTGCAAATTCATCAGCTAAAAAATAAATCGTAACTTAACCTTTTGATAAAAAACAGAATTTCCATACTTGAAAACATAGTTTTTTTTTATATAATTAAACAGCAAAAATGCTTTTTCCCATAAAATAATGTATGCCCTGAAATTTTTAAGGGAATTCCGTTGTTTATAAATTCATCTGCTAAAAAATAAATCAGTACTCACCCTTTTGATGAAACAGACTTTTATCTCTGAGAATCTATTTTACTTATAAAGTTAAAAAATGTTTAAAATGTTTTGTAAAAAAAATGTTTTTTCTTCATAAAATAATGTGTGCTGTTGAAGTTTTTAGAGCAATTCCGTCGTTCATAAACTTTCAGCTAAAATATAAATTAGAGATGAATTACTGGACGAAAACAGAATTCCTATAGCAAAAAATCTAGTTTCCACTCAATTAAATAAAAAAAAATATTATGAAAAAATCCCCCCTGAAAGTTTATAAATTAATTCCCATGCTTGAAATTTCATCAGTGAAAAAATAATAAATCTTATCTAAACTTTTGATAAAATTTTTTTTCTTCATTTCTAAAAACTTGCTTATCATAAAATTAAATCTAAAAAAATAATAAAATAATTTCTGCCATAAGAGTTTCTGGTGGAGTTCCGCTGTTAGAGAATGCATCACCGAAAAAATTAACTATAACTCAACCTGTGGATTGAAATAAATTTACGTTTTAACTTATTTTTTATAATAAAACTTATTTTTTAGATTTAAAATACTTTACATATAAAATAATAATATTCTTATTAAATGACAATTTTAAGACTGTCTATATTAAAATGACAGAAAGGAATAAAGAATTCTGTTGTTCCATATTATATTATTTATTATTTCATTATTTTGTTTTAAATAAATAAGATTGTTTCGTGCGTCTTATCATTAAATTTTTTTAATTATTTAAGAATTAAATTTTTACAAACGTTGATTTTTTTAGCAGTCATAATGTGACAAGTTTTAAAAATATTATAATGCAAAAATTTCCGTAACATTAATTTCTAAGCATTATTAATCTGTATAAATAACTGGATATTTTTAATCTGATATTCCATAATATATTTTTTTTTATGATTAGTCGTTAGATTAAAAATTTTTTACAGAAGTACTTTACTTAAAAGTAATTGTGGAACATTAGTAGTGATTCTGATTAAATATTATGAATCATAAAGCGATATTTGCTCGTTAATAAATAAATTTAAAAATAGAAATAATGCAATAGAATATAATAAATTAGAAATAGATTTTTTAAATGGTATAATTAATAAGTATGGACCATTGCTTAGTTATTAATTAATTATAAAACGTTTTCATTAGCATAATCTTAAATAAGTTAGATAACTATAAGCGTTCTTAAATAAAAATTTTATCGAATTCTATCGAAGTTAGAAAATTATCCAGAAACGGAAGTAATAAAAAAAAAATAAACTTACGGCAGTAAAATTCTATGGGGCAGCATTTGTTTTCGTGATATATAGGGACACAACCCCTCTGAAGTTGGAGTTTATTTTTTTCAAACAAACAGTTTTGTTGATAGCAGCTACTGTTCGAGATTCCTCTCCAATTTTCGGTGCAATCACATATCAGGCATGGGTCATCTGACGGATAAATCTTTGCACCAACAGGATAGGTTATTCCATCATGGACACAGAAATAGTCTAAACAAACAAACAGAAGAACATAATTCTAAAAGCAAATCAAATTCTGCGATAAAATCCCGAAATAATAAAGTATAGGATGTCTAGAAAAGGTTCGTTCCGCAGTGAACTGATCATTAAGACACTGTTCCCAGAGATTACCGAAGTCACCAATCACTAACAGCGGTCAGTGTGCTGGTGGGTGACAATTTTCATAAGTCTGCGGAGGGACCGAAGGTGTGCGGTATTGGTCCTCGTTAAACTGTTAGACCTTAAAATACTCGATTTCGCGAGCAGGTCGTTGGGTTACCAAAGAGGAGGAGTCATCCTCGCTGCAGAGGATCAAAACTGTGATGATATGTCTTCGGATCATCCTCTGGGATGTTTCCTAGACCGTCTCCAATAGTCCATTGTGCTGCTATAGTGCATGTAAATAAAGTACTGCTACTAGTACTAGAAAAGGTACCGAAATAATAAAGTATAGGGTGTCTTGAAAATATTCGTTCCGCAGTGGACTGATCATTAAGACACGGTTCCCAGAGATCACCGAAGTCAAGCATCACTAGCAGCGGTCAGTGTGCTGGTGGGTGACAATTTTCATAAGTCTGCGGAGGGACCGAAGGTGTGCGGTATTGGTCCTCGTTAAACTGTTAGACCTTAAAATACTCGATTTCGCGAGCAGGTCGTTGGGTTACCAAAGAGGAGGAGTCATCCTCGCTGCAGAGGATCAAAACTGTGATGATATGTCTTTGGATCATCCTCTGGGATGTCTCACAGACCGTCGCCGATAGTCCATTGTGCAGCTACAGTGCAAGAAAATAAAGTACTACTACTAGTACTAGAAAAGGTCCGACGAATGAAAAAATCCTTTAAAGGAAAAAAAAGGGATAGAAATACGAAGTTATGATAAAAAAAATTTCTCTTGTACTAATTTTCTGTTTAATTGTGAAATGAAGGCATTACATATATTTCTTGTCACTTAGAATTGAAACATGTGGCTTCTATCATTCTTTTCCATCTCACTCTATTTGGGGCCAGATATTTTGCCTCTCTCCGTGTCTTTCCTATTGGTTTCAATTCGTTTACCATCGTTCTGCGTCAAGTATTTTTAGGTCTTCCTCTTTTTCTATTGCCCTGAGGGTTCCAAACAAAAACTTGCTGTACTTTAAATTTTTCAGGTTTAAGTAGAACATGACTAATCCATTTCCATTTACGTTTTTGAATTTCCCGATCAATCGTTTCCTGATTTGCTTTTCTAAGGATTTCTGCATTGCAAATTTTATGGGCTATTTAAATCAGAAAACTTTGAAACTATGTTGCGTTAAATCGCAGCCCGAATCCAGCAAACTGAAGCTAAATAGTAAAATTGTCAAACGACAGAGACATTTCAATATAGCACTTTAGAGTTCTCTTTTTTAACTTTTATTTTGTATAAATAAATCTTACATATATATGGTTTTAGTTTTATTGAATTTGTATCCTGATAAAATAAGTATGAAATTAACAAAATTGAGATGAGAAATAAGAAATTTTCATTAAATTTTGAATTTTCGTTTTAAAACGTCTTTGTACCATTATAGACGAGGCGTATAAAGTTAAGTTTCCTTTTAAAATTTTAAAAACTATATATTTAAAAACATAATTGGATTATTATTTCGTAAAGCGCATTTGTTTTAAAGTTTAAGTATTTCCGTAGAGTTCATAGAAAGCAAATTTTTTAATTTCACTTAATATCAGTTTAATTTAAAATCAATTTATTTGCAAATTTTATATTAAAAACACCCATTAAAAATATTATATTAAAAATACATATTATGAAGTTATTTAATTATTTTTGAACTTACCTTCGCCAGTAGCTTCATTTTCATTTGTATTTAAAACTGGAATTGAAAAAAAAATGCAATTATAAATTGGATTTTTTATCTTATAACAATTATATTTATTTTATGAAAATCGTACTGTACGAATCATAATGGCGCACAAATATTCGGTGTTAAATGATACTTAATGATGTCGTGCAAAAAATAAAGTAGTAAAAAATCTTCTGCGATCAATACGCTCTTGATTTTGTTTCTTTGACAAGATTAAAATTGAAAAAAAAAAAGAATTTAAAATGGTGCTTGATTGTTTTCCTTATTTTTTGTTTGCTGTTGTTTCTAAATGTTACTTGGCAATACCAGCAATCCTGCTTGGGAAACCAAGAGAAGTTAAGGCAGATGGTGAGCTTCTTGTTTTTTATTGGAGCCATCTATTGTCAAGGATACGATTTCAGTCACACACACGTCACAGCTCTTTTTAAAGAGCTGACTCTTTCATACATCGTTCCACTCATCCACAGATCGAACTTTTGACCTCAGCCAGAGAACGATCAATCTCCAATTCAATACCTCTAGAGGCACTGATTTGTTATGGGAACATGGAGGACTTTGGGACCCTGGCAGATTTAACGTGCACTAATCCCTATTTATTACTTTTGTATATATATATCTTGTAAATTACTAT